AGCCCTTCACAGCAGCAGTTTGATGTTCATACTCTGGCAGAATTAAATATTAGGTACAGTAGAAACTGTCAGCGGATGCTGTCAAAGCACAACATAACAGCAAAACTGGAGATCAGTACTGTAGGCGTACTGTAGGTACCATAGTTAGCAGAAGTAGTTTCCATCTCAATGCTCCTGAATTGCAAAGTTTTCACTACCAGGCAAACATTTGGACACATTTATTCACTGCTTACTACAATTTTGAATAATAGAAAAGGTTTTGTTAAATAAAAAAGAAAACACATTAAAGAGCCACTAGTATGGGTTTTTAAAAATGACCATCCATGCAGTGTGTAGCACAGCTCTAAGTGAAATATCCAGCTAAGGTTTAAATCTGAAAGTGCACCGTGTTTAAAACTATTGATTCATCTATAAAAGAAAAAGAGTCGACTCATAGTGCTCCAAATGAATCGTCTTAATACACTTATTTCACTCGACCACCATTTTCAACCCAAGCTCATTATGAAAACGTATTCCCATGGACGTTTCTGGAGACCGCGAAATACATCCCGGGAGGTACAAATGGCTGCATTTCATTTTTTTAAGCGAACGCAACGGGGCAGTGTGACGCCGTTTCCTTTCGCGCTTGCCGGCTGACCGCTTACCTCCGTGTGGAGGGCTTTCCCGCCGCAATCAGTTTGTTCGGTCAGCTCATCATGTGCATCAGCGGACTTCAGATGCAGAGAGGAGGAGTTGACAAATACGTCCGGGTTCGAGTCCGGGGAAGAGCGGTTCCAGAAATCAGGTAAGACAAAAACAGAATCCAAAAAATAAAGCGAACGAGTTCATAACGGGGTGAGAACGTGGTAAAATCCGAAAAAGTGGTAAAAAAAAAACAGACGAGGGTTTTTCTTTTTCTAGACGGCTTTTCTAAATTGTTGCTCGGGTTTAGGGAAGTGAGCGGGCGGGTCAATCGGTAAAACTGGTTGGGTTCAGGGAAGGAGAAGGGTGGGTCAGCCGATTGGCCGGTCGCGCAGTCAATCATGCAATCAGTCAGACTGCGGCCTCTGGTGGGTTGACACGAGAACAGCGCGGGCGTGAACGGCTCTCACGAGAGACGTTCGAGATACGAAAAAGCGCACACAGCCGCCTCTCGCGGATTCGCGAAAATAAAAACTGAACAAATACGTACCTCCCGGGACTTATTTTGCGGTCTCGAGAAATTCCGCTGGACTACGTTTTCAGAATGAGCCTGGGTTGACCATTTTAAAACACTAAAGCGAGGCTGCGGTAGGAACAAACTCGGAAGTATAGGATCAGCACTGTAAACATTGCAGCAACATGTTGTGTACTACAACCCCCCAGCTGTTGCCACAATTGCAAAATGCAGATATGGTGTAAACATCACTTTAATATCATTCAGTTCAGTTTAATTTAATCAATTAAATGCAAATTAGGCATCAAACAACATTACAATCTCTTTCAGAGTAATACGTCCAAGTGTCCTCCTAGGCTTCAGTTCATGGCAGCAGGTAAACACGGTGGGGACGCTTCCCTGCTTCAGTCTATGTAACCTGTTGAGCGATAAAACAATGCAGTCCTCTGTAGTACACCCTAGTGTTGTCAGTAACAAGAGGGTTACCATTTAAGCGCCTCTGATTAGCCATAGTATTCACCAGTGCTCAACAGAAATGACTATGATTGGCCGTGAAGGTCCTCAGCTCACCGCTCTTCACCGAGTGCAAACACAGATACACGGACATTGGAGCGTTTAAAGCCGTGAAGATCAGTCGAATTATTAGCAGATCGCTGGTCTGTGTTGTGGCTCGGTGAAGTGCGGTGAACTGACGACCTTCACGGCCAATCACAAGCATTTCTGTTGAGCACGTGAACACAATGGCAAATCAGCGCTGTTAAAAGAACGCAATCAACAGTGCCTTAAATGTTAACGGGTAATAGACTTCTTTTTTTTTCAGTACCGAAATTCAGTATCGTGGCATGTCTAATATAGTGAAAGAATCAGTTCATTAACTTTAGTTTGATAAATGGCATCAAAAATGTGTGTTTGGGAAAGAAAACGTTAGATAACTAATGCTATTTCCCTTAACTTAGCTGAAAATGAGGTCCAATATCCCTTTTTATTTTCACTATTCATTCAGAACGGACATTTGAGTTAATCGGAAGGCGGTGAAAGTATAAATTTGTGTCGATTTCTCTTCATTGATAAGATATACACCCAGGCACACAACATTCCTGTGTGACTCAGGCAATACTTCCGGGTTTCTTCCCACCACAGCCTCGATTTTGCTGTTTAAAACGGCGGCCGCGTGAAATCAGCCCATAATGAGTCTTTAGCCGTGTCGGAATCATGTCACGTAGACGCTGTGCTCTGAAGTGTGAGGGAAAGTTAGAGTTGCTTCCCTACCCAAAGATGAGGTTGTGAAGAGTCTGTGGTTGAGGTTTACTTTTGCAAAAATACCTCAGCATTATAGCCCAAGCCCTGTGATGTGTTCCTGTCATTTTTCTGAAGAGTGCTTCAGCAATCTACACACTTAAGCCGACTTTCCACTGCACACAACATTTGGACACGACTGTCGAAATACGCCCCCTTGTGGCAGTCGGTTCTGAATTTTCAGTTCTGAAATGCACCATGGGAGAGAAGCTGTTCTCGGAGTGTCCGAAATAAAGCAGTGCAAAAGCAAGAGCCAGCAATCTCTGTGCGTTCACCATGATTGAATGAATGAATTGAATGAATACTAGAAACTCATAGACCACTAAAAAATAATAAAGACAACATAAAAAATATATTACTTTATTACATACATTTATGAATAGAAATGTTTTTTATATATTGACTTTTTCTGATTCAAAAAATAACCAAAAAAACTAATATTTGTCATTTCTCGCACACGGACCAGCATGGACAACAATGGAATATATCACATTCAGTCGGCAGGTCGCATATGGTCTCACGGGTCTTCAAATATTTCATTGGATCCGTAGCTCAATTCATATCTCATTTTACGGAGAAAGAAAGATCGGAACTTCACGCAGCTCCTGGACTACTCTCCATTAAAAATAAATGACTTCCGGTCTGTTGCTTGTTGCTTGTCGTGTGCAGTGGAAAGGAGGCTTTACAACGGGTGATTCATCGGCCATTTGTTACAGGAAGAATCAGAAAAGACTATATGGGACTTTGCAGAGCTTGACAGAACCTTTACAGTAGACAGTTTATGGACCAGTTTCTTCTGCCACTTCACCAGTGTAAGTAATGCTGAGTTCAGACTGCACGATTTTCAAAGTAGTCGTGTCACGGATGTTTTCACACAGCATGACCATCTGGGTTAGCGTTCTGTCGGTGCTGTGTTTACACTGTAGGATGGATCGGCGACAGGACAGTTCACATTGCATGACTTTTAAATAGAAAGAATCACGGACAACTTTGTCCAAACTAAGTCTCACAGCCAAGCAAACATGAATAGTGACATGGAAACAACGCAAGGTCACGCAATATATCTTTCGTTTTTAAATACATAATGGAAAAAGAAGGCTTTAGCTTTAGACACTTGTGTTGCTCGCCTGGCTTTTGAAGAGAATTAACAATCTCTCCTCAACTTTTTTTTTTTCACTTTTAGACCTGATTGTGATATTGATCAGATGACACGTCAAGCAGACAAAATACTGCTGCCAAATTTACACTAGTTTTTCCTCCATTTCTTGGGTCCAAATAAACTTAAAATGAGCGCTTTTAACTTCTCCCCCAGCCTCCCGCTGGCCCAAACTAGTGGATGCTGCTCTCTCATTGGCTGTGGGTGATCGCTGATGTTATTTTCAATCAGAACACATTCACATGGCATGATCTGAATTGCTGACAGCTCTAGATATTTAACATGCCAAATGTTAAATCTCACGGGTGTCTGCGACTCATCGGCGATGCTCTTTTATCGCGTCGTTGATAGTTCACACTGTGTGATTGTCACTCACGTGAACGAGCACCGATTGTCAGCCTTTATTGCCAATTTAATTTCTCAAAACCTGTCGGCGAGTCAAAATCAGGGCTAAAATCATGCAGTCTGAACTCAGCATTAGTGCGATTAAAGTGGTTGCCATTATGTATTATTATGTAATTGCGTTTTGCTACTTGTAACTGCTTGTACTGTATCTGGTTAACTCTTTATATTCTCATATCACGTCTAAAGCCACGTTGAAAACTTGACGCGTACAGCTTTAAGGAATGCGTTTGTGAGCTTGCGTTCCACTGCCATTTGTCATTGCTATGGCCACCGTCAACTGTTCCAACACATGTGCAGAGGCCATGATACAACCTAGCTCAAAGCATTAACTTTCTTGCTGTGAGGCGACAACGCTACCCACTGCGCCACTGTGCAGCCCCACGTACAAATTATCTTCATGGAACATGATCTTTACTTAATATTATTCATTCATTCATTCATTCATTCATTTTCCTTCAGCTTGGTCCCTTAATTATCAGGGGCCACCACACCGAAACGAACCGCCAACTATTCCAGCATATGTTGCAGATGCCCTTTCAGCCGCAACCCAGTACAGGGAAACACCCATACACTCTCATATTCACACACTCATACACTACGGCTAATTCAGTTCATCCAATTCACTGTTGGCGATTGCTAAGGAATGCAGCCATGAAACATCAGACAGATTTTTTCATCCAGGTTGCCATTTAGTCTAGATCACAGGTGTCAAACTCAGTTCCAAAAGGGCCGCAGCTCTGCACAGTTTAGTTCTAACCCCTATTAAACACACCTGATCAAACTAATTGAGTCCTTCAGGCTTGTTTGAAACCTACAGGTAAGTGTGTTGGAGCAGGGTTGGAACTAAACTGTGCAGAGCTTCGGCCCTCCAGGAATTGAGTTTAACACCCCTGGTCTAGATCAACGAAATATTTGACTGGTAGTGTTCACTATATAGCACTGGAATGCACAACATAACACAATAAAAAGCATTGCGCATTTTTAAAAAAAATGTCTTTATTTCCTTACCTTTCCAACTCCTGAATCTTCTTATCCTTGTCGTTTTTCTCGGTCTCCACCTCTCTCAGGATCTCCAGTAACCGCTCCACTTCGTTCTGAGCTTTGCTGGACTCATCTTTGAAGTACGAAACCTCTTTTTCCAGAAGTTTGACTCGATCCACGTACTCAGGGTTTCCACGCGAGCTCTGCTGCACCTCCACTTCATGGGCCTTCTGTTTGAGCAATGACACACAAAATCAGTCAAAAAATCAATCAAATCCATAGCTGCAGAAACATTACCAGCTCTGAATGCCATTCTCAGACCAACACAGACACCAGCACTACAGCCTAGAGGAGCTTTGCGCTTCACAAAGCAAAAGAGCCAAGCTTTTTAATGCAAAACAACAACAACAACAAAAGTTAAATAGAGGGATAATTCACCCCAAAAATTAAATCTATCTATAATTTACTCACCCTCAGCTGTTTCCGAACATTTATGAGTTTAATTATTCTGTTCAGCACAACAGAAGATATTTTGAAGAAAGCTGAAAACAAGTAACCACTGACTTCAACCAACCATAGTTGGACATACTATGGACAACTCCTATTGGTTTTTACACTACGTGATAAAAGTCTTGTCGCCTATCCAAGTTTTAGGAACAACAAATAATAACTTGACTTCTAGTTGATCATTTGGTATTAAAAAGTGGCTTATATGAAAGTCAAAAGCCTCTAGATTACGCGTATTTAACCAAAATAAAATATAATCATTTTAAATCAGTTTAATGGGACAGTAAGGTGTCACTTCACTTAGACAAAAGTCTTGGCACTTAACAGAAATAATGTACAGTATAGAATATAAATTCAAGGAGCAGCGGAAAAAGAATGAATATTGTGTCTTCATCAAGATTATTTGGATTCATCTTCAATGCCTCCGCCTTTATCTTACCCTAGACATCCTCAATATAGTTTATGTCTGGTGACAGGGCTGGCCAATCCTGGAGCACCTTGACCTTCTTTGCTTTCAGGAACTTTGATGTAGAGGCTGAAGTATGAGAGAGAGCGCTATCCTGCTGAAGAATTTGCCCTCTCCTGTGATTTGAACTGTAATGGGCAGCACATATGTCTTGATACCTAAGGTTGTTGATGTTGCATCCACTTTGCAGATCTCTTGTATGCCCCCATTCTGAATGTAACCCCAAACCATGATTTTTCTTCCCCAAACTTGACTGATTTCTGTGAGATTCTTGCGTCAATGCGGGTTCCAGTAGGTCTCCTGCAGTATTTGTGATGATTTGGATGCAGGTCAACAGATGATCCATTAAAAACAATCTACCTTTTGCCACTTATCCAAATGATCAATTAGAAGTCAAGTTATTATTTGTTGCACTTACAATTGGGATCGATAACAAAACTTTCGTCAAGTATATGGTGGGCAACTTAATTGTTTTGTGTTCGATCTACTTAAATTAGTTAAACTAATAAGATAATTAAATCCTTCAAGTAGCCCCAACACAAATCAATTGTGTGGAACCCAGTTATTTTTACAGTGTAGGAAAAACAGTTACTATGGAGGCCACGGGTTACAGGTTTCTTCAAGATATTTGTCAAAATATTTTCCCTTGTGTTCAGAAGAAGAAACACTTAAAGCTTTCAAACAAGCAAAGGTTGAGCAAACAACGACAGAATTTTTATTTTTTGAGTAAAATCCCTTTAAATACAAATATTTGGTTTTAAAACCCACGTTGATTACTGCAGAACTGAGGAAGATGCATCATTTGTTTTAAACACTGTAAATGCAGCCTTGCTTACTTATTAAAACACTGCAAGCATCCTGAAACACAGAGTTTGCACAATGAAACACATACAGTACAACACAAAAATAAAGGTAAACTGGTCACATTTTACCAAAGCAACTGATCAAAACTGACATAATGGATCATATACAACACCAAAAGAATGTAGCAATATTAATAGTACCAAATGATGTTGTCACAAAAACCAAACATTTTACCAATGCAAGTGATCGAAGCTGCAGATTGTAAAACATGACATGAGAGGGACTGAACAGGACAGGGGAACATGCGTTGCATCATGCAGAGGTGGATTTTGGTTCAGTGGTAAGAGTCTTTGCAATGCTGTGTTCAAGTCTGGGAATTAACTTCCACAAATTAGTTACAAATTAGTCAACATTGGAAACATGAGGAAACAACAGCGCTTTTTGAAATCCATTGTGTTGTGTCATTTTATTTTGGTTTGCATTCTATTTGTGGTAGGTATTGCTACGTATCATTTATACAATACAAATGGTACATTAACGTGAAGGACATTCAATTTATGTTTCCCAAGTGGTGTTTAACAGGGATATTTTTTCAACACATTTTTAAACATAACAGTTTTAATAACGCATTTCTAATAATGACATTTTTATTATTATTTAAATAAATTTTCAATTTAAAAGTTTGATAGTTTAGGTTAACTAGGCAAGTTAAAAAAAAAAAAATTGTCCTGTTAAACATCACTTGGGAAATATTTGAATTCAAGAATAAAATTAAATAAAACAAAACAAAGAAACAAACTATATATATATATATATATATATATATATATATATATATATATATATATATATATATATATATATATATATATATATATATATATATATACATACATACATATATTTTACTTAATTTACAATAATTTAGGTAAAACGTTTTTCTTTTAGTCCTTTGTATATAAAGGCAAATAAATAATAATAAAATTAAGCAGGTTGCACATTTAAAATTCATTTCAATATTATTTTCTTTTCAGCTTAGTCCCTTTATTAATCAGGGGTCACCACAGCGGACTGAACCGCCACATGTAAAATTGTAAATATCAAACAAATAATATTTAATATTTTTAAATTATTTTATTAATGCTTAACAAATAATAAAATCACTAGATGCTAATGCTTAGTAAATGATTCATAGTGTGTAGTTATTATAAAGTGATATCGTATGTTTCTAGTATGAATTTGTATGTTATTATTATGTCCAATGTAAAGTCAATGGCAGTTTTTTATAATAGAAGTATATGGGACAGTTGCTAGGGTGCCGTAAGTGGTTGCTAGGGTGTGGCTAGTAAGTTAAAAGGTCATTAGTAATTGGCAGATTGGTATTCTGGGTTAAATGAGCCCAAATGTAAGTCTGTATGACAGTCTGGCGCAAAGTTATGAGGACACAAGTTTTGGTCCAATGTTAAGTCAATGGGACTTTTACAAATTTTCTGGGTCAGTTTTCGAAAGACTATAAGTCAGATCAGTTGGAAAAGATATAGCAACTTAATTCAGTACAGTTTAGAGGTTTGGAGCTAGTTTGGTGTTTGTAGTATGTATGGTCTAGGAGGAGATGCGTTCCTAAAATAGTCTTAGAAGACGAAAACGGAAGAATAATAAGTTTATATAACAGTATGTTGGCTTTCTCAAGCCACCATAACCATAAACAAAACTCAAACAGACAACAACAACAACAACAAAAACAATCACAACAACAGCAATAGCAACAAAAAAAACCTAGTGTTCGCAATGTTGATTATTAAGAAGCCATACTTTAAAATGACACTTAAATTAATTAAATAATACACAATCTTAGACTGCATAAAATTCCACTAATGATGAAGCTTAAAATTGATCACAACTCCTGCTATCTAAAGCAGCACAGCCGAATAGTTTACACACCTTTAACAAAAAGTTAAAAGAGTAGTAACAACAACATAGTTTCCTCATGCTTTCAACATGTGCTGGTGCAGATCATAGAGACACTTACGGGGTTGTTCATTTGACTGAACAGCTGCTCTGCCTGCTACATTGCAAAGGAGGGAATTATGGGAAATGATGAGGAGGAGGAGGATGAAGGGACACAAGCTTTATCATTAGCTCTTCTTTCAGGTTAATGATAATCTTCTAAATTGTAAAGTCGAGAAAAAAAAAAAAAAACCCAGAGAGCAACAGAAGAAGCCTGCTGAGTCTCAAATCTGAGCGAGTCGCCTACCTAGACAGCATTAAAGGTGCTTTATGTAAGTTTTCGACTCTTCTAAAGCATATAAATGCTAGCAGATATTAAAGAAAAGTGCTTGTTTATCTGAAAAACAATGTTAAAGTTGGTTGTTCTTCTTTAAAAATGTGCGTTCTATGTCATTGTTTTAGTCTGTGACTTTGCCCACTACTAGTTTAACCAATTATATTTTGACATCCCAGGTTGCCTTGATGGAAAAAACAGTGTGATTAATTTTAATCTTGAAGGCTGTCATAATGTATGTGGAAACGGACGAAAATGTGACAGTTGCAACCTCCAGAATGATATAAAATCCACATGAGGGGGTTTTTAATGGACAAATAATACAAATTTTACAACAATAAACATTCGATGATGAGTTTACAGTGTAAGGTTTGGTCGTCATGCACACTTGCTCCTATTGGTGTTGTCAATCTGGCAACCTATGTGTGCATCAAGTCTGAGGAGGAGGAGCCAGGTGAAAAAAATCCTCTTCAATATTTTGAATTTGAACTGCAATACCTAATTCAACCACTATGAATTAGGAATTAATCATACATTAATCATACATGCAGCACATAATTTTTGGACATTTTTACTAAACTGTGAGCCTCTGGTAGTCAAAATAATTTGTTACTTAGGCTGGTGGCTCGCTGGGCTTTGAGACAGAGCTGTGGTCAGATTAGACAAATTAAACAAAGGCAGCAACATCTTATCAGAAAGGCTCCTTTTAAAGGAGTGACCATTAGTCTGATGCAGAAAACACATTCAATGAAACAACTGGATAATTCATTGAATGCAATTCCAGCGGTTAGGAGTTGACTGATATGGGTTTAAAGTGCTTCAAGATCAAGCTGACCGATGGCTCATATAACAGCAGAGTTCATACAGAGAGACCACTGTTGATAAATTCAATGCACCCATAGTGTATACAACAATACATTTGTTTATAAAAAAAACATACTGTATATGTTTATTTAATATGTTTACTATGTAACTATACTAACAGATTAATGATAGCAAAAAAGACAGTTAAAATAATTCTATTTCATTTATTTATATTTATTTAAACACAAACTGATGTGAGTTACTGCCTTCAATAAAAATCTATACAAATGGATGTTCGTTCATATTTTAACATAGGCTCATTTAGTTTCTTTAATCTGTTCAGAAATCAAGACAAGAAAAAACTGCACAGTTTTTTTGCATAGACATGTATATATTAGACATTTTTATTTAAATCAAGATAATAAGCAAGTATAAAAATAACACTATAAATGATTACTAAGCATGTTTGTCTTGTTTTCCTCTTGTTTTGTTTTACAAACAACATAAATACCTTTTTTAATTCCTTTAAAAAATGTAGAAGGTAACAAAATAATCCCAATAAATGAAATAGATTTTTTTGGTAGTAAACAAATATGACATTTCTGGGAAACAAATCTAAAATGCTGCATTAAAAATAATAAAAAATGAGTCTTATTGTATGCAAAACTACTTAATAAACATGTAAATAATAAAGAACAAAATGTCTGTTTGTATAATCCGTCAACAACTAATTCAACTGTTAGATTGCTGCAGCTGATAATGTTATAATAGGCAAAGCTCAACTGATCATGAAAGAGAATCTTGCTGTACCTTTTGTAACTGCGTCTCCAGTTTATTGCACTCCTCTTTCTTCTGCTCGATGGCGATCTCGAGAGACTTGAGTTTGGAGTCTTTCTTGAGGCCTGACGAGGCCAACGAGGACGCATGTTCCTTCAGATCTATCAGACTCGACTGGAGGAAGAAGAAAAAAGATCAGGGCACAAATACCACGAGTGTGTTTACAACAGTAATCCAGTTACTAACCTTATTCTGAATAAAACAATTTTAAGATTAAGGTGTTTCTGTGAGAATCTTTTTGAATATTTTAAGCTTTTAAATGTCACTTTAAGCTGAATACTAGTATCTTGAAAAATATCTAGTAAAATATTATGTGCTGTCATCATGGCGAAGATAAAACAAATCAGTAAGTAGAGATGAGTTATTAAAACTATTATGTTTAGAAATGTGTCGAAAAAAATCTTCTTTCCGTTAAACAGAAATTAGAAAACGAAACATACAGAGGGGCTAATAATTCTGACATCAACTGCACTCTATACTGGATTTTGATAATATGACTAAAATACTCCACCTCTTAGTTTGATTTATGCTTTCTTCATGTATGACTTTAGCTAGATTAGGATACAGTAATAAAAAAATCTCTGTATGCATGGTAGATTCTAAATAAGAGCCTGGTCTTGCTAATATTGCAATGGTATTACAGCAATTGAAACTAACGCACCTCTTTCTCCGTCAGCTCCACCTGCAGTGTGTTCACCTTCTCTTTCAGATCTTTATTCTCCTTTTTATATGAATCCAGCTCCTCCATTCGCTCTCGGTCTTCACGCTCTCTTTGCTCTTTCAGTCGCTCGATAATTCGCTCCTGTGAAACAAATGAGGAAGCAAAAACAAATATATTTCTCTTGGCTGATCAATATAAGTACTAAACATCTTCATTCTCCACAGATTAGAGGGTAAATTCAGTAAAACGGAATAATCCTGGTGAAGATCATTCTATTTAAAATGGGGCTGAATGCTGAGAAAGTGTGATGTGTTTAATTAAGGATTTTTTGGCTTGTTTAATGATTTGCATAATTACTTTATAGAACTGTGTGCTGAAATAACACAGTAGGTGAACATGAATGCTGCTATTAGAGAGCATACATTTGGTCCTTACTAATGTTTTCCATTAGCATTTATATTAGATGCAAAATTATTTAAGATATTGAGTCTTGCTTTTCTGAATAAGTGATTTATGCTTAAAATAGGAACAAATATTTGTCAGTGTAGTCCAAAAAAAGCAATAAGATACTTATTTTTAATCCAATGTTTAAATCTTGTTATATTTTTATCACAATTTTGACATTTTTGTGACATTTTTTTGTGAAAAAAAACTTACAATAGTGTTTCAGAGTGTTATTTCTGGTAAAAATTAATCTTGTAATAATTTATCGAATATATCCTAATGTAAAGATGTTTTAGTATTTAAAATGAAGATGGCAAATCTACAAGGGTTTCATTTGAGTTGGTAAACATTGTAAGTTGTCATATATTGCAAAAAAAAAAGTTTTCCCAAGTTTATTTTGGGTAACACTTTATTTTGATGGTCCATTTAGGTATTAGTAGACTGTCTGCTTAATATCTGTTGATACAGACATTCAACAGATATTTAACTGACTATATGAAACTTTGCAAGTACATGTAAACTTACACTAACCCTAACCCTAACCCTAACCCCAACCTAACAGTTTACTTATAATCTAAAAAGAAGTAATTGATATGTAGATGCAATGTATATTCAACAAACGGACCATCAAAATGAAGTGTGGTCTTATTTTGTCTTGTTTTACATAAAAATAGCATTACTAAATCATAATATATTCCCTTACGATGCAAAATTATATATCAAATTAAGTTTTATTTTTTTAAACAAAAAACTAAAGGTCGATTTTTACTTCTGCGTCAAGTGATCGGCTTGACCCATGGCACATGCCTTGCTCGTAGTCATGCATTTAAACTTCTGCGCGCTGTTGGTGTTGCTCCGCAGAAACTCCTCCAAAACGCTAGCTGGCAGTAGTTTTTATGTTCCTTTGTTTCTTCACAGTTGTTTTGTTATGCTTTCTTTTGTACAAGTAGCTAAAACTCACTCATTTAGAGGCGGGAACTGGCAGACATGCAGCAACTTCATAATGTAAACACAAAACAGTTTTCATCTAGTGCACCTTCATGGGAGTCAACACTTGTGAAACTCGCTCCATCGAGCTCGATGCTCTCAGAACCGCCCACACTCGTCACAGCTACCAAGCCGACCAATCACAGAGCTTGTGCTACATGTTGTTGCGACATGTAGGTACATTTTTGAAGGGTGATGGCTATGCGACCAACACGAAGTATGAACCAGCCTTATGTCATTAATAAAGTCAATTTATGGTAATCAATTAAAATTATTAAATTTAAGTAAGAACAAGCATCTGTTAATTAGAAAAATGAATTAACCCACTGGCAGATTTTTTTTTTTTTTACCTTGTTTTAAGAATAACCTCAATCCATTTTGATTATTTATTTATTAACAAGACTAAATGTATTGTCATTTTGACAGAATAAACTACCAAGATAATTTTTACACTGTATTTCTACAGCGTAAATACTGTGAATAATGTCATGCAGATTATTTTTCAATGCAAATTGTTGAGCATTTTATGCAGATATTACCTTAAAGGTGTTGTAAATAAGTTTTTGACTCTTCTAAAGCATAAAAATACCATTAAATGTTTGCAGATCTTTAAGAAACATGCTAGCTGAACATACTTGTTTATCTGAAAAACATAGCTAAAGTCAGGTATTCTCCTTTAAAAATGTGCTTTCCGCTCAGCATGTCTATCTTTGTTTTGGTCTGTGTAACTCCGCCCACTGCCAGTTTACCCAATTATAATTCCACACCCTGGATTGCCCTGGCAGAAACAAACAGTGTATTTCATTTCAACCATGAAGGCTGCCTCAATGCATGCAGGCGCCTAAAATGCTTTATTCACGCAACCTGGTGGCCATTTTCCCATGTTCGCGCATTTGCATTGACTTTGTTCCTATCCGCTGGTTAAGTAGTGACATATCGGTGATGTATGGAATACTGTTTCCGGGTCCAAGCCACTACTCATTTGAATTAAGAAAATATTTGTTTATGACCACAGTTTAGTCATATCACACATTTAAGTGATCATCCTCTGGGCTTGCTGCATCACAAATACCAAAAGTTTAAGAATTTATAAAAAAAAAAATAATAATAATTGTAATTAATCATTTTCTGGCCATTGGATATTAAGCATGGACAAATATATTACGATCGGGAATTTTCGAAAGTGTTACATCGCTTTCTAAACATTTATTATTACCATTTGATAAGTCTCCTCATACAGTTTGATAGAGTGCTGGGAACCGGAAGCCGCTTCGTGTAACATCACACTTGCAGATGCAGATGTAATCTACTTGCATGAATGCTTTCACTTTTGTTTTGCGTCCGTTGATGCTGCCAATCTGGCAACTGGCATGTGCATCAATCTAAGGAGGAGGGGCTGGGTAAAAAAAAAAAAACGACTAACATTTTGAATCTGGACTGCAATACCCAATTCAACCACTAGGCTGTCAATCCTACATATACTGGTAAAAATATCTGCTAATTAACAGTTTCCGTATTTTGTGATTCACAAGTGTTTTCTGTTTATTTATGGTTATGAATTGCTTTATGAGATGTTGATCTCTGCTCTGTCAACTTTTAATTACGAAAAGACAACTTTACAGTTTAACAAAGTGACTTTTACTGACATTTTAGTCATTTGAAAATAATATAATGTATAATAAATATATAATAATAAGTCTGTAAAATAACAGAAAATGTGCTGTCAGTTTTTTACAAGGTATTTGTAGCGTAATATACAACACCAACCCAAAGAATATATCACTTTAAACAATTAAAAATGTCAATAAAAGTTACTTTTTTAAACGTTTCAAGGTTAAAAGTTGCTGAAAGAAAGATTAAGTCCTACAATGAAATTCAAATGCATAAATAAACCGAAAAAAATAAAATAAAATAAAAATATGAAACACAAAATAGGGATTACTGCTAATTCACAGATATTTTTTTACAGTGTACTGCGCCTTTAAAGAAGCTTTACCAAAATGAAGGCTCTGGAAACCTAAATCAGTTTAAAAGACGCAGCTTTAATTTGAAGTGCTTGGATTTGGTTTGCTGTTGCTTGTACCTTCTCAGACAGAGCTTCCTCCAGCGTGGCGAGGGCAGTGTCAGTGTTGCTGGAGTCCGTCTGTAGAGACTTCACTCTGTCCTTCAGGTTCCCCAGCTGCTTATCTTTATCCCTCAGCTGCTCCTGAAGGTTTTCAATCTTACAGAAAGAAAGAAGATAAATCCACTGCAGATTAACTGTTCATCCAGTGTTTGGAGTCCCCTTTTGATTGATTGATTGTTTTATGTTCCTTCAGCTTAGTCCCTTATTTATCAGGGTCGCCACAGCAGAATGAACCTCCAACAATTCCGGAATATGCCCTTACAACCGCAACCCAGTACTGGGAACTCTTTTGATTCACAATTCAAATAATTTGGTTATTCGTGAATAAAATGTCTAGATAAAGGTGGTTTATGTAGGAATTTTTATGCATTAATCACTCTTTTTATTGCTAAAGTTGTGAGCAGCTTGGTGCTAGAAAAAAAGAAAAAAAAAAAAAGAAAAATTCTCTAAAGTCGTTTGTGAAAGACTGTAGAGTGATTATTTTGCAAAAGGAGGTGATGTTTATGCAGGAGGTGATTTATTCTTTGACACAATAAACAAATGCTTACAATGGTTAGGATAGCACACACTATACAATTTTTTTAATTTTGCTAATATATGGTAAATACAAACAAACACAGGTGTGGTTGCAAGAATTTTGCTATTTAAAATAAGTTTGAGACTATAAAATATTTTTAAAATTGTATGATAAACTACTGTATTTAATTAACTTACTACCATTGAACTTTTGTTACATAGGCAAAAAAAATCATACCAAAAGCATGTTTTGCTCATTAGCATAGACTGCCCTGAGTGAGAAGCAGCTGTCAGCTATTATTCTTTAAATCTGCCACTATGTTGACACCAAGGCATTTGTAGTTACGCACTCTTTTGGAAATACGGCGTGGAGCACAATTTAATTTGAATTTAAAACAAAAGTCACCTAAACAGCACAATTTGGATCAAAGTCGAAAAAGAGGGCAGTTTCAAATAGTCTTAAAACATTATCTGTGCAGTATTGTTAGCTGAAATTTGGCATAATAGGACCCCTTTCAACATAAAATATACCTGTAGGTGCACTGGTCATACATACATCAGTGCTTCTCACACACAGATTTTTTTTGGGCGGGCTGTCCTGGTATATTTACAGCCACCCAAGTATATTTGGTGACACTTTTTTTACTATTATTATCACTTTTTTGTATTTGCAAAAGATAACCAAATATCTGCGATTGATTAACCTGTGGACAGTCTTCTCTCACTCGACACGTTCCATACTGAACTTTCTTTGTGCGCGAGAACTGTCAACACTCCCACAGACATTCTCATGAGCTCTGCATCGACCCACAGAGATGCGCCTTTTTTATACTTAAGAATACGTCTGGCTGAAGTTTGTAAATCTCCTAAAATGTCTCCTAAAACTTTCTAAAGCTGTCGTTAATTGAATGCGTTTTGCATTACCTTCTTATTTAAGCCTATACTTTTTCTCTTGGCTTCGCAGCTAAAAGCTTGCACACAACCACGAGAGTAAGCAAGAGAAACATTGAATAATACATTGATTAATCTAAACAACTCAGAAAAATTTTACAATATACTCAGAGAAGACCAAATACCATCTAAACTGGCTGCAAAATATATGTGCACCGTTAGAAATGGTTAATCAGATATAACCAGAGAACGTGTCTGTTTAATTTTTTTTTTCTGTCATTTATTTCTTATTTGCTGTATAATTTATTATGATGTTAATATATTACATATTTAACTTTAACCTATTAAAAAGAAAAAGTGTATTACAGTGTCATAATAAATGAAAATATTCATAAAAATCATATTATTTTTTGTTTGTCATATGTAGTTAACCAGGGGTGACGCGGTGTCACAGTAGGTAGTGCTGTCGCCTCACAGCAAGATGGTCGCTGGTTCGAGCCTCAGCTGGGTTAGATGGTGTTTCTGTGTGAAGTTTGCATGTTCTCCCCGCGTTCGCGTGGGTTTTCTGCGGGTGCTCAAGTTTCCCCCACAGTCCAAAGACATGCGGTACAGGTGAATTGGGTAGGATAAATTGTCCGTAGCGGATGAGTGTGTATGAGTGTGTATGGTTGCTTCCCAGAGATGGGTTGCAGCTGGAAGGGCATCCGCTGCGTAAAACATGTGCTGGATAAGTTAGCGGACAACTGACAACGGAGAAGGTAAATTCAGATAACTTGTTATCAGCAAAATGTTACAACTCTTTCTTTTAGGCTCCGCTGCTTTCTCCATCTAGCAGGAATGTGAGAGTGCGCAACTGACACAGATCGCCTGTGCTGCTGTTCTCTGCCACCCAGGGCTCTGTATTCTTTATCCATATGATTCATTAAATTGATTTGAACTTATTTGAAGCCTCTGACCGACCTTTAAACCTAGGGGACTACTGGGAAAGTCCAGCAGTGCCATGGGTAAAAGGTGTGTTTTAATCTGGCTACCATCACAAGTATCTTTCAAACCTGTGAGAAGCACAACATACATCATTTGAAAAATTCTAAGTCAACAAAATAAAAATAAAAATAATAGGTTGAACCGACAATGAGGAACATCAATAAGTCAGCATTTACTGAAAGGGATAATCATATTACTGTATTACTGGCGAGCTTCACAAAGATTTATGTTCAGTGGTCATTCAGAAATTGCATATACTCAAGGCCGTCCTGCACAGATGAATAACTCAAGAGTAACGGCCACAGCACATGGCCGTCTGAGTGTGTTTTGCGGTCTGCTGGTTCATCTTTCACCTTCTTCTCCATTTGGATGCTTTGTGTTTAAGAAGCCTGAGATTGTTTCAGACCACAGTATATATCTGATGCTGACTGTCAAACATGCTGGTTGGTCTCTAATGGTCCAGGAAGCATCTCGTGGGATTATTTATGCTTGATGATGATATTCGGTATGGTCAGATAATGGGCGAGATTTCACTTCCTTCAACCCCCCTATGAATTAATGCATTCTTTTTGATGAATGGCACAATATCCCATTACCCAGAGTTACAAAGCTCTATGAGAAATGAGCTTTGACAACAAATGGAGCTGCTTTAAGATTTGTTAAAGATAAGCATAAAAACAAAGGTTAAAAATAGTTTTATTTTTGCAAGAACTCAATAAAACACCACCATTTTTTACCTAAATTCCATTTAGAAGATATAAACATTCAAAACGTGCAGTCTTTCACTTTTGGCAAGAAGGATTGTTGATTTTGATACCACCACTGTAAAACTTGACTATTTATTTTAAATAGGAGAAATTAATTATCCTGAATTTGTCCAGATTCTGCCACTTCGCTCTAGTTAATTCTTGTTTTGATAGCAGAGTCTGGACACTAGTCCTGTCTTGTCTAGTATGTTGTGCTCGGCTTGAGTTGTCTCGGGTCGAGGACTCACACTACTCGTCTGAGTGACATCTTGGCTGCCCTTGGGTTGTGGGCACTCCCACTTGATGCAGGTGCGCAAAGTCCGGGCCTGCTTGGTATGCGTGCTCTCATCCTGGTGTGTTTGCTGAATTGTTCACGGCATAGTGTTTTTGTTCTTATCGCTCTAGTTTAGTTGGTTTCATTTTCGGTTGGCGCTGGGATCGGAAAAATGCATGCCGCATGTGAGTGCACTGTAAGTGTGTTTACATTTATCGTGTGCTCGTGTCTTGTGTTGTGTTTGTGTTGGTGTTGTGTTTAGCACGTGGTTCACATTTACATGAGCCGCATGCTTCAGTGTTGTGTTCCATGCGAACATGCGTTTAATAAATTCTCTCATTGGCTGCATGTTGTAGTGCCATCTATTTTCTAGTCCCACCCTCCTTGTTAACCCATTATTAGTTTATTAAGTTCACCTGTTTGTTTGCTAATTTTTTCACTTTACAGTCTTCTCTTGTCTGCTGTTCTGTGCCAGTGCGTCACACGTCGTCTTTCCAGTGTCTTGTTGTGTTCTGTACAGCCCTGCTCTTCCCTGCCAGCCTAGTTAGTATGTTTAGTTGCTTTTGTTAATGTTTCCCCCCTTAGGGTAGTTTTTGGTGCTCAGGTAGTTTCAACTACCTGACCTGTATGGTCTTTGTTTTACTCATAACCAAATCATAAACAAATAAAAAAATAATTAAAGTTACACGCAAATTACCACCTGTCAATCACTTTTTCCTCGGGACTCTGGCATGAATAAGCAGAGTGATCTGTGCTGTTATAATGGCGTCGACAAACTTGGTTGGTAAAAAATGTGCACAACCAACAGGAACCAACCAACAGTATCTGAGTAGTATCTAAAATTACTAAATACAGTATGAAAGCGAAAGATTGAAGCAGTGTACTGACGCTGTGACACGTTACCTGATTGATTGAAAAGACCAAAGAGTTAAATATCACGTTTAACAACTATAGTGAGATGTGATCCAGCGGTACATGCTTGATAAACTGTCTGATGTGCACTGCTCTCTGGGCTGACTGCTGGAGCTCAGACGCTGCAGCGCATGACAGAGTATGTGTTTGTGTGTGTGTGTGTGTGTGTGTGTGTGTGTGTGTGTGTGTGTGTGTGTGTGTGTGTGTGGACACGTGATGTGCGTTTTCAGCAGTATAGTGTGGAATGAGGGATGTTCAGAGATGCTAGGTGAAATGCCAGTGTAGACGTAGATTGTTTTCGTTTTTTAAACTAAGATGCTTATTGATTCATTTCAGATTGATTACCTTCTTCTGCAGGACGTTGATTTTGCGTTCTTTGACTTCCAGCATGTCCTTCATGTCTCGGATTTCTCCAGCCAGAGTTCCCTTCTCCTCTGTCAAGTCTTGAAGCTGCTTTGTCTTTTTATTAAGGAATGATTCTTTCTCCTCAAGGCGCAACCTGAGAGCATCCACCTGAAGACGAATATTAGGTTAACAATGAAATATGATTTTTTTTAAAATATAATAAGTGAAAAAAACAAATATGCACAGAAAATATAAATTTCTGTGGGATTCCACTGGGGAAAGACTTTTTTTAAAAATTGACAAAGGCGAATGTAAATATTAAAAGGTATCACTTTATCTTGATGGTCCCTTAAACACATTTTGTTGAATTTAAGTTACAATGCATCTACATGCCAACTAATTCTCATTAGATTATAAATAGACTGTTAGGTAGGGGATAGGGTTAAGGTTAGTGTAAGTTGACATCTACAGTACTTGCAAAGTTTCTTAAAGTCAATTAAATGTTGAAGGAGCAGTATCAGCAAAAAGTCTACTAATACTCAATTGAGAAGTAATTGGCATGTAGCTGCAATGCAACTTTTAGTCAACAAAATGTGCAATAGGGACTATAAAAAGTGTTACCATAAAAAAATACATTTTAATAGCATTTTATTTTATTTTTAATATAATAAAAGTTTTATATAAAAAACAAAACAACAATAACAAAAATAAATAAATAAAGTAAAAAATATAAATAAAATAAAATAAAATAAAATAAAATAAAATAATTGAAATTGATTTGCACACGATTAAAATTTTCACAATGGGCAAAGGTAAATGTTATAAATATATATTTTTAATTAAATAAAAATACAGAAATTAAATAAATAAAATAAAACAAACTTAAACATTAAAAATTTTTTATATAAAAAATAATAACAAAAATAAATCAATAATTTTTTTTTTAAGTTATGCACTCCAATATTTAAAATATAAAATTTTCATAGTGGGCAAAGGTAAATTTTATGAAAAAAAAAAACACTTTAAAATGTATTAAACAAATAACAAATAAAGTTACAAAAATAAAATAAATAAAATAAACTTTTAAACATTTTAATAATAAAATAAATAAATAAATAAAACAAAATAAACAAACAAATAAATAAATAAATAAATAAATAAATAATTTAAAGTAATTTACACATGATTAAAATATTCACAATGGACAAAGTTAAATTTTATGAATTTTTAAAAAAATAAAATAATTATACATTTTTTTTAAAACCAAAATTAAACTAATAACAATAAATAAACTAATAAAATAAAATAAAATAAAATAAAATAAAATAAAATAAAGTAAAGTAAAATAAAATAAAATAAAATAAAATAAAATAAAATAAAATAAAATAAAATAAAATAAAATAAAATAAAATAAAATAAAATAAAATAAAATAACCTCTGTTTGTAAGATGGCAGCGCGTTGCTCTTTGGCAGTGAGGGATTCTTTGAGCACTTCAATATGTTGTTTGCAGTCGGAATTCTGATTATTCAGAGTTTCCAGTTTTGTTTGCAGAGCCAAAAGCTCAGACTCTTTCTTGGAGAGCTCCTGCTTGAGCTGGTCAATCTGAAAGACATAAACAAAGCCACAAAGAAAGAGTACTTATTTACGGGACACAGAAAACACTTAGCATGTCAAACATTACAAAACATCAGATTATTTCAATTTTTCTTAATAGGAAAGTTGAAACGTGCACTGGAGTTTTTCTTCTCTACATCTGTTCTCACTCACTGGAAAGACAGATTTCAGAACGCAATCCCCATTTAATATACATCAGCCATTTGAATTATTGATGAACTGAGGTCTATAAATATCACAACAAAACCCCCAGCTGATTCGCCAGCATGTAAGAAACAGAGAAGACATTGAACATAATGATTCCCACACACGTTCGCAAAAACACACACTGGCAAACTAATGAGAGACCAAAAAAAATCTGTTCAAGTCATAACTGATAAAAAATATATATTAATATATGAGAGACAAGATTCTGCATTATACAATTAACTAAACAACAACACAACACTAGAATATCTGTACTTCATATATTGGTGACTAAGTATGTATATTTAAGCATATACATTTAATTTAGCAACTAAATAATAATTAAAACAAAAATATAGACATATAACAACATGATAAAAATAAAACACTTACTAAAACTTTAAAAGAATTGAAAACAGAACATAAGAAAACTAAAATGACAATAGTTGTTTATGGTAATAAAACAACACTGGTCAGATTACCAAACCACATGCATTTTATTTAGTGTAAAATTTGCAAATGAGGCCAAATCTTAGTGTTTCTATTTATTATAGTTATATTTATTACAGTACTTATATGTTTTATTTATTAACAATTATAGAATTTTAGTTTATTTTAAGCTGCCTTTATTTTACATATATTATTAGTGTTAAATTCAACTGTGATTTCTGTTTTAGTACTTTTGTTGGGCTTTTGTAATTTGAAAATTAGAAAATAATAAATGTAGCTTTAAAATATCTGTATAAGTCTACAAACATAATTAATTTTAAAATTACAATTCTTAAAAATGTATTTTATTTTACAAAATATTTTTTAAAATCTTAGTTAATAATAACATTTTATTTAGTTTTTTTATTTAATGAAACCATTTTATTTGATTAGATTTTATTTCTATTTTTTTATTTTATTTGTAATTTAATTTTATATTTTATTTATTTATTTATTTATTTATTTATTTATTTATTTTAGCTTTACAATAAACAATTACAAAAACAACAGATAAATGCTTTTAGCAAGTGTTTATTTAATTTAATAAAAGTATTTTATATCATTATATTTTACTTTTGTTTTTTTTTATATTTTATTCTGTATTTTGTTATATATTTTATTTTATTAAATTAAATTAAATTAACATAACATTAACATTGACATAATAGTTTTAATAACTCATCTCTAATAACTGATTTATTTTATCTTTGCCATGATGAAAGTAAATAATATTTTTCTAGATATTTTCATGACATTCTCATTCATTTCATTTTCATTCTAGCTGAAATAAAACAAATAAGACTTTCTCTAAAAGAAAAAATATTATCATACATACTGTGAAAATTTCCTTGCTCTTTTAAACATCATTTGGGTAATATTTAAAAAGGAAAAATAAATTCAAAGGGGGGTTAAGAATTCTGACTTCAACTGTATGTAGTTGTTTTAAACTTGTGTCTGTTTATTTTATTTTACACAAATATTTTGTAAAGACTAAGTTAATAAAGACATTCTATTTAATTTTTTTATTTTATTTAATACAAATATTTTATTTTATTTTATTTTATTTTATTTTATTTTATTTTATTTTATTTTATTTGAAAAGTCAGCTTTGCAATAAAACAACAGATACATTTTTTATCAATTTTTTTAAAAAGTTTTTTTTTTTAAATATAATTTTGTATGTAGCTTTAAAATATTTGTATACATCTATATAGTTGTTTTTAATCTTTAATCATTCATTCATTCATTTTCTGTGGTTCAGTCCATTTATTCATCAGGTGTCACCACAGCGGAATGAACAGCCAACTAATCCAACATATGTTTTACAAAGTGGTTTCCCTTCCAGCTGCAACCCAGTACTAGGAAACACCTATAAACTTTCATTCACACTCATACACAACGGACAATTTTGTTTATTTAATTAACCTACTGTATACCGCATGTCTTTGGACTGTAACATGCAAACTCCACACAGAGGTGCTAACTGACCTAACCGTGACTCAACCTTCTTGCTGTGAGGCAACAGTGCTAACCACTGAGTCACCATGTCGATTGTCTAAATTAATAATGCAATTTTAGTTTTTTTATTTAATTTATTATAACTACTTTATTTTTTATTTAAAATAATTTATTTTATTTTATATTTTATATTTTATTTTATTTATTTCAATGTTTTATTTTATTTTATTTTATTTTTATTTTTTATTTTATATTTTATTTATTAATTTATTTCATAAACATATTTTAAATTGAATTTATTTAATTGAATTTTAGTTTTAATTTTATTTAATTTTAATTGTTTATTTAATTTTATTTTGAATCAGTCTTAAAAACAACATATACATTTTTTTTATCAGTTTTTTGAAGCAGAAAATTATGTATGTAGCTTTAAAATATCTGTATACATCTACATAATTGTTATTAATCTTGTGCCAATTTAATCTAATTTAATTATTTAATTGTATTTATATCTATTTTATTTTCCTTATTTGAAAAATCAGCGTTGCAATCAATGGACCAAAAACAACAGATAAAAGTTTTTTTTTTCATACAAAAGACAAAAAGAAGCATCAAAAAAACTGCTTTGTCACAGAAACAGCTGTCTTTTTCAGGATGACATCATCCATATTTCATATATCCAGTTCAATTCTCAAATAATGAAATTCCTACCCTAATTATTATTTTATATGAACATCACACTACTAAAGTGAAAGTGGTTTTATGTCATCCAAATCATTTATATTAACTTTTAGAAATGTTTGTCATATTTTCAGTTCTAGTTTACAATATCATGCAATCATCTGGTTATTTTCCAAAACTACACCTGCATGTTTTCTGAGCTAATATCACCCATAAACAGCCCTGTGCAATGTGTTATTTGCTAATAATTAGAGACGCAGTGTCTGATACACAATGCGCGATAGACTTGTTGGCACTGTAAACTGGGACTGAGCCAAAGTTAGTGCGAGAAGAAGAAATCCCAATAAACCTGCAGCCGAAGAGCCGAGGTGTTTTGACAAGAAACACTGTCAGCAACACCACCGTGAGAAATACAGTATATACACACATCCTACAAATCCTATTTTAACACTGCTGCTTCTAGCATTACTCAGCAGAGCTATCATTACAGTTCACTGACACACTCCAAACACTTCACTTCAACTAAACACTTCAGCAAATGACAGATTTATTATTTTCAAAAGACGCTCGGTGGAGTATTTCATCTGATTTAGCTGCTTGAAGGATCTGGTTGCTGCTAATAGGAAATCATGCTTAATGTAAAGTGATATGACAAATATGTAAATCTTTATTGTTTTATTTGTTACTAAGCAGGTTTCATAACACATTTCACTTTAGTAATATTATATTCAATAAGAGAACACTCTAAGGGCAGGACTTTCATTATGTGCATGAGAACTGATATGGGTATATGAAATATGGATGATGTCATTCTTGAAAAGGACAGCTGTTTCAGTGACAAAGCAGTTTTTCAGGGTGCCTCTTTTTGTCATTTGTTTAAAAAAGATATTATATACATATTTGTTTTGGTCTGTTTATTTGATTTTCTTTTCAAATCAGAAATTACCATTTAAAAGTTATATTAATAAAAAAATTAAAAATAAATAATAACAATAATAATAATAATAAAAATCTTTAAATCTTTAAAGTGATGTACACACGATCTGTGTTGTTACGAATACTATGAATAAAATAAAAGATAATAAAAAATTATTTAATGAAATAAAATTAAATAAAATAAAATACATTTAAATTAAATTAAAAATAATAATGAAAATAAATAAATAAAATAATGCACACACAATCCAAAATGTTATAAATAAATCAATAAAAAATAATAAAAAATAATAAATCAATAAATAAATACATTTAAATAAAATAATTAAAATTCAATTCAATTCAATTAAAATTGAAATTAGATTGTTTATAACAAATAAATTTTCTTTTTATCAATTATAATAAATGCACATGATGTAATAAATTTCTTGCCAATCTGTACATACTATTTGTGTTCACAATCATTATTTTTTTAATTTACAAAATCATTATTTTTTTAATTTACAAAATAGTGGGGCAACAGTTGGCATTTCTGTGCAGAGTCTGCATGTTCTCCCTGTGTTCACGTGGGTTTCCTCCGGGTGCTCTGGTTTCCCCCACAGTACAAAGACATTCACTATAAGTTAACAAAATAAGCTAAATTGGACGTAGTGTATGTGTGTGAATGCAAGATTATGTGGGTGTTTCCTAGTGTTGGGTTGCGGCTGGAAGGGTATCCACTGCATAAAACTTATGCTGGATAGGTTGATGGTTCATTCTGCTGAGGCAACCCCTGATTAATAAAGGGACCAAGCCGAAAAGAAAATGAATGAATGAATGAATGAATATCTGACTTAACTGCATTTAATTACATGAAAAAGTGAAGTGAAATGCATTATTTTAACAAACAGGAACATTTTCCACTTTGCATAGTTTGTCTTTGTCTTGTTATTGACAAATGTTATTTTTACAAACAGTAACATGTTCTTATTATTTACTTTCCACTCTTCTTCTCATAAAATAACTGCATGAATACCTGAAAACTAGGAAGTCTTTTTATAAGATTTGTATACTAATTTTGTGCTGCTTCTCCCCTACATTATATTAAAACAAATGTTTTAACTCAATTAAACAAGCTATTCACATTTTGGCACTGTTTTAAGCTATACAAAGATTAACATAACATTATTTTTAAACTTTTAAATTTAAATTAAGATGACCAGAAAAGCTCATTTGATTCAACAAAAACATTTCAGCCAGGCAAAATTTGTTTTAGTTTTTTTTACAATGAGGGATAGTTCACTTAAAAATGAAAATGATCAATCCCTCTCTCTCTCTCTCTCTCTCTCTCTCTCTCTTTATATATATATATATATATATATAATATTTTTGTGTTCAACAGAAAAAAGAAAAAAGTTTTAATTAAGTGCAGGATCAATAAATGATGACAGATTTAATTTTTACCACTTTAGGTTTGTCATGGCCATTATAAACTTTTCTATAATCCCAAAAGCATCCGTTTTCACAACTTCAAATAGTAATTAAAAAAATTTATTAAATTAAATAAAAAATACGATAAAATAAATAAACAAATAGATAAAAATTTTAAATAAATATAAAATAAAATAAAACAAAATAATAATAATATTAAAATGAAAAAACAATAAAAATTAAAAAAATAAAAATAAAGATAAAGATTAAATAAAATAAATCAAAAATTGAAATAAAATAAAATACAAAATAATAATAAATAAATAAATAAATAAAATAAACATTTGAACAAAAAAGTATAAAATAAATATAAAGATAAAGATAAAATAAAATAAAAAATACCATAAAAATAATAATACAAAATAAAATAAAATTAATAAATAAAAAAAACAGATAAAATAAAATAAGACAACAAAATAAAATAAAATAAAAAATACTAATAAAAGTAAATAAAATAAAACATAAAACAAAATTTTTAAAACATTTTTTACTTTTAAATTCCTTTAAAAACACTTTATACCATCTCACACACACAATGCGAGCATTTACACTCCCCAAGTGCAATGTTTATCTTTTTAAAGAAGCTCTTTACCTTGGTCTTCATGAACTTGGAGTGGTTTTTGTAGACCTCCATCTGCTTGATCTCCTCCTCTCGGTCTTCCGTATTCAGCAATCCATTCGCCTTCAACATCTGAATCTCGTCCTCCAGGTCCCGAATGTTGCGCTCCAAGGAGGCGATTTTGGTGTCCTGGATAAACAATTTAGTGGAAAAATTAGCCACGTTGTACTCCATCCCCTTAAGCTAGCAATGACAACTTTTTATGGGTGCAGATTCAAGGGGTCCGAGGCATGCCAAACCACAATTCCCAACACACAGGAAGAAATCACAACAAGACAGGGATACGCCAAAAACTCAGCACCGCCAGTGAGGAGCTGCAGTACTGCTGCATAGCCAAAGCAGAATCTGTCTCTCTCATGCTAATGGATCAGCATGTAATCACCATTTGGTCGAAGTAGGAGCGCACATCCAGCCCGGACGGAGACAGAGATGCTCTTTCTTTGCACGTTTTTGCCTCTTTGAACTGGGAGAGAGGGTTGCGGCGTTGCAGCTCCTTCAGCTTTTTAAATAAATAATACAACGTCTTTGGCATTAGCCATGGTCCATCTCCCGTTCAGACATACTGTACATAAGAGCATGTTTGCCACTGCGTTCCTCTGATAACCCGCCCTTCTCTCTCTCTCTCTCTTTGCTCTCACAGACATCAATAGACACCATTTACACATGAGGCCTTTGAAAAGCATTGCAGAAATCGCAGCTTTGACCATAATGTTTGCTCATTTAGTAGTAAGTGAAGGTAATGCTATACCTTGCGGCTCTATGAAAGATATTATCCATCTTCAGAGCACATGCAAACAGATCAGATTTCCGCTGTGTGTTTCTGTCATCGTCTCCCACGCCTGCATCCGTGCTCTCGGTGTTGTAAACAACTCCACCTGTTCCCATTGCACCGGAATCAGCATCCCTGCTCGGCCAATAGGGCGGGAGAAAGCTTCTAATGCTAAACGGGTCATGAACTGACTTTCTTTGTTGATTTAGTCTCTAAGGTCCACTTATAAAGATTTTGCACATCAAAAATGTCACAATTGAAAGCTAACAGGCTATTTTCTGCTCATGTTTTGAATTAAAAACACTGTTAGAATAGGTCTAAGACTATAGAAAGCATATAGTTTATCGTGTAACGGTCAATATGGCGAATGAAGCCCCACCTACAGGAGCCAATTATTAATCAGTCTGCGGGAGAAGCTCGGACCAGACGTGTGCTTTATGACAGGCTTTTTGTTTAACAAATACACTGGAATCTCAGCTAATATTTGCTTCAAACACATAAGAAATATATCCACATGAAGCTTGAAATCTGTATTTTTTAATGAACCAACTGCACTTGAAAACAAAAGTTTTTGATTTTGTGATCTGTAAACGAGCTTGAGGTACAATGCATCCTGTCAAAATCACAAGACAGCAACTACAAGAACGCCCAAAACTTGTAAACAAAGAGTCGCTGACATTTCTGGAGAAGATACGCCATCAAGACCAAGTTATGAATTACTTCAAAAGACCACAGTGATCTGACAAAGCATTATCCAGAGGATGGAAATTTGCAACGCTGCCATAAATGAGGTTGGTGTCGTGATCTTGTTACTTGCGCATTCACTAGGGCAACCTGAAAAAGAAATGCTGATTTTGTGTGATTCAAACGTTTAGAAACGAAACTTATGAGACAGTTGTTTAATTTTGTTGTTGATTTCAAATATGTAATATAATCAGTTTTCCACGTTAACTTTTTTGATCACCAGCTACTGTGGCTAGTAGATTTCCAACATTTCTAGCCGTTTTCACTAGCCACACTTTCTGGTTGGGAAAATATATTTTATATGCATAAATTTGACTTTGACATGCTAAAATGAGTTGATTTAGATGTTGTGTTATGTCCACATGCCTCCTCATTCATTTAACTTCCTGTGTGTATTGTGTATTAGCTGGCTCAGTGTGCATGAGCAAATGTGTTGTCGCAATGCAATCAGTCACATGACTTTTCAGGGCCTTAAAATTAAGGATTTACCAAATTTATCTCTGACCACACCAAATAAGTATTTCTTAGCCACAATTTTTTATAAGCTAAAAATATAGCTCTGTAGATGCACTTTTTAATTCAACAAAACTTTTCTTTAAAAAAAACATTACATTAAAAAAAGGAAATATTGTCATGTATCAAAAATATGCACAGCAATCTGTCCTGGCTAAAAGTCCCAGATCACCAGTTAACTACACATTAACGGAAAGTAATCTCCCATTAAAGCAATGTTATTGTAAAAAAATATAATTAAACCATATTAACAAAAATAACTGTAAGCAAAAGAAAGCAGGTGAAACATACCGTGTTTGATAATGAAAGGATGATCACGTGCACACGGTTAGTATAGGCCTGTTAATAATCTGTTTAAAGAATAATTAAAAGTGACCACTTCTGCTTACAAAAGAATATTTGTAATTAATTTCAATTTTGAGCTTTTGAAAGCAGCAGGACTGTGGGTGCACCATCATCACTCTTTGTCCAGTCTATTTCAAAGGGAACCAATCGCACCAGTTTCCTTTAGACATGGTTACTTCGCGCAAGTAAACGGCAGCCCGCGAGTGATCATCCTCTCATTCGGTATTTACCTTCTTTTTAACTGTTTTGCTCGCGTGAACACAGTTATTTTTGTCAGTCGTGCTGCTTCTCCATTCTAAGATCGCATTTGCACGAATATTGGGCCACACTTATTGTCGAACCCTGCTTTTAAGAAAACTACAATTTAAAAAGGATTTCCAACCAGCCAAAGTGGCTAGTGGAGGTGTCTGTCTAACCTGCCAGAGGTGAAATTTACCTGCATTTAGTGGGCTGGTAAGTGTTAATGTAAAGCTCTGAATATAATCATAAACTTGGCAAACAGTTTTGGAAAATTTGATGTTTCCCCATTCAGACAGAATGCATAAGCAAATACTGCCCGAGAGGCATTTCAAACATGGCCGCCGATTAAAATGGCTTGCCTTAATGTTAGTTCATAATCACCAACCTCCTTAATTCATCATTTATTCATAATAAAGTAATGTTTAGTTTACATAGCAATGCATCATTATTCATGGACTGTAATGTAAACTGTTACCGATAATATTTTTTGTGTAAACCCAGAGTGAAGCGAGTGCATGTGCCCATTTTGGCCAATCAGACATTTCTGTTGAGCTCCTGAACACAACGGCCATTCAGCTCATGCTGATATCCTCTCTCATTGGTTGCAGCTCGTCACTACATCTGACCACGGCCACCCCTGTGTAAACTCTGGCCACCCCTGTGGCCACCCCAATGACTTTGCTGTTGATATTATTAATTTAAATGTACTTGCAAAAATGTAAAATATTTAAATAAATAAATAAATACAATGGGAATATGCAATATTTTAAGAGTAATACATTAAATGAATTTAAACCACATTATTTCATTTACTACAAACAAAAATATAACATTACACTGCATTTTTTGTGCACCACCCTAAGATTTGGTGTGGCCTCTTCTGGCCACCCCTAGGAAAATTTTCTGGGGGCGCCACTGCATCTAACCGCATGTGGAGACGAGTCGGCCGACTGGTCTGGAATGTTTAGCCTGCTAGATATTAGATTTCCATCGCTTCAGTGAGCCTCTTTGAAGCATTGCTTAGTAGTTCATACATAAAGACTGCCGAGCGCCCCCTTATTTTTCTCCGATCCGATCAGTCAGCGAGCTCGTTAATTTCCAAATCGGACTCAAATCGGGCTTAAAATACTGTAGTGTGAACTAGTCTCAATCTGTATGAACTAAGCACAAGGTACAATCCATCCTGTCAAATGCGCATTTCACGACAGGAACTACTCAAACGCCCACAAACTTGTGAACAAAGAGTCGCTGCATTTCTGGAGGAGATTCGTCATCAAGTTGTGAATTACTTTAGAAGAGCAGCGCGATCAGGCAAAGCATCATTTAGAGGATGATCATTTGTAGAACGGCCATAAATGAAGTTGGTGTCACACTCTCATTCTTTTCGAGTGTGAGACATGTTGTTGTTTAAGTTTATTATTGATTCCAAATTTGTAATGTAGTTGCAAGCTTGGCAAACAGTTTTGGAGAATTTGATGTTTCCCCGTTCAGAAAGAATGCTCGAGCATACTGCCTGAGAGGTGTTTCAAACATGGCCACCGAAGTGTGGGGGATTGTAGACTCAGAAGTAAACGCCCACTGCAGTGATTGGCTTGCAGTTTTGCTTATTTAAATATTTTTCAGAACTAAGATTAGCTTCGAAAGTACAGCTGTGTGTTTACTGAGGCAAACTTCTGCATGTATGTTTGACAGACTACATCCTTCATAGATGAAAGCTTCTGTGATAAATATATATTCAGAACATATCAAACAATCTGTGATGACAAACAAAGCAACAGTGAAGGCATAATTAAAGGTGAAATAAAAAAAAAATATATATTTTAGATGTTACAATCAGTATGTTAGTTTTAATGATGTCTGTAAAATGTGCGTTTAGAAGATATAAACCTGATATAAACACCCAAAGCTGCAGTTTGTCTTTTACGCCTAAACGCATCAACAATTTTTTTCACCTCGTACTTCAGAGGTTCAAATCTTGACCAATCAAATGTTCTCTAGTATCTGACATGCTCCACCCCCTTCAAGACACTTCTCATTTGCTTTTCATTAGAAGCGCTTAAGCTCAATCTCTCTCACTAGCAGAGCTGTTTTAAAAACAAAACCCAATTGGCTGTTTTTTAAAGGGGAGGAGCTACTCAATGTCCTACACTCCCTTCATGTTTCACTTAAGATTATGTCATATTTCGAATAAAATGCACATTTCAAAGCACTTCTTGAGACCTTTAAAGCATTATGGTCAGATCCAACATGGTTAAAACCGCATTTAATTTTTGTCTCTCTAAAAAATCTAAAATCAAATTGTGCCCAGTTTAAAAACAACTCCATAGTGAAATTAAGTCGGTCTGGAACTTAATCTTAAGTTTAAAACATAATTTTGTTTTTGGGGCTTCTTTATCATTATCATTTTCATTATCGTTTTCTGCGTAGACATGTGTGCCTCTCATTTTCATGTCAATTTGAATTGGTGGGTGGATCTAAACAGGCAGTGATGTTGGCATATAGCTCTCTGCAACTCTCACATGGTCACTCACTGAAGCTAAGCACGGCTGCGCCCGGTCAGTACCTGGATGGGTGACCACATGAGAAAGCTAGGTTGCTGCTGGAAGTGGTGTTAGTGAGGCCAGCAGGAGGCGTTAAACCTGCGGCCTGTGTGAGCCCTAATGCCCCAGTATACTGACTCTATACAGCTCAGTGACATTAAATCGAGGTCCTTGCTCACTGTGATTGTAAAAAATCCCAGGATGTCCTTTGAAAAAGCATCCTGGCCAAATTTACCCACTGGTTTCTGTCCATCATGGCCTAACCTATCATCCCTATATCCTAATTGGCTTCATTACACGGTTTCCTCTCCACCAATCAGCTGGTGTGTGGTCTGGTGCAATATGGCATCCATTGTGTCATCCAGGTGGATGCTGCACACTGGTGGTGGATGAGGAGATTCCCCCTAATAATATGTAAAGCGCTTTGAGTATTCAGAAAAAGCGCTATATAAACATTCCACAACCTGCCATTTTGGCAGACTGGCTTCAATAATACCTGTTTTTAGACTAACAAGAAAGATTTGAGTTCTGAAAATTGCAGGATGTTTTTTATAACACAGAAATAATACAAAACCTCTTATATGTCGAAAGAATCAGCACATTTTTATTTCTCGGTTCATGACCCCTTTAAAAAAGGGCACTAGAGAGAAGTCCAGGTGAAGCAGTTTGTCCAGTTATTTTAGTTTTTTGGGGAGTCTATCATTGTGTCACATCAATGCGGTGGTGAACTCTGGGTAATATTTAGCTCCAATCAGAGGGGAGCTGAGGAGTGTGTGCGTGCTTTGCATGATGTCATACTTTATTTTTAGCACGGTGTGTAATGCTTCTGCTGGCAGGGGTTGCTCTGCCTGTGAGCGCACAAACCCACTTACTGTTTCATTCAGCCATTAAGCAGCAAACTGCAGTGACTCTGCCATCAGACGTTCCTCTTGTCTTTCTGGTCCGTTCTGTTTGCTTTTTCAGTCTAATATTGTTCTTTCCGAGCAGCAAGAGCTTGCTTGATTAATGGATTTGTTAAGCAAGTCTATTAATCTCATAAAGGCTGAATGAATTGATCAAAGTGCAGTAGAGTATATATTCAAATAGAGTAATATTACAACTATTTGAAATAGCTGTTATCTATTGTAAAATGTTTTAAAAAGTCATTTATTCATGTGATGCAATGCTGCATTATCAGCATCCCTGCTCCAGTATTTAGTGAACTTTCAGAAATCGTTCAAATATGCTGATTTAAGACTTTCAATTGGGTCATATTATATAAAGTCAAATATAGGGTTTTAAGAATCAAAATAATTACACACCTTTAAATGATTTTTAGACTTTTTGCTGTGCAAAACAGAATTAGAAAAATGTTCAGCATAACAATAGTTCATATACTGAAAATACTACATTTAATTACATACTCTAACTCTGTTTAAATAATAAAAGTTGACTTAACTTATCCTTCATTCATTCATTCATTCATTCATTCATTCATTCATTCATTCATTCATTCATTCATTCATTCATTCATTCATTCGTTCGTTCGTCTGATCATTCATTTTCCTTCAGCTCAGTCCCTTATTTATCAGGGGTCACCACAGTGGAATATACTGACAACTATTCTGGCTATTATGTTTTACGCAGCGGATGCCCTTCCAGCCACAACCCAGTACTGGGAAACACTCATAGACCTCACATTCACAAACACACACACTCATGCACTACAAGGTCAATTTAGCTCATCCAATTCACCTATAGATCATGTCTTTGGACTGTGGGGGAAACCGGAGCACCCAGAGGAAACCCACGCCAACACGGGGAGAACATGCAAACTTCACACAGAAATGCCAACTGACCCAGCTGGCTTAGCAATGCTTTATCAATTTGTGAGCAATGATTTTCAAATTATTATTTTTTTTTTGCATAATCACTTATGCTTTTACAGATTACAGTGTACAAATATACAAGTACAGATTTATTTTCACATAAATGTATCTGTGCCCCTCAATGACAAACAATGGAACATTATACCACCATTTCTTTTTCACAGAAGTTATTTCAAACATTAAAATATACATCTTCTTGCATTTAATATGCTTTCAATGTGCATACACTTTTGTAAATTTAGTTTGATGTGGACGCAAAATGGGACATTTTGTGTTTGACCCATATATATATATATATATGTATATATATATATATATATATATATATATATATATATATATATATATATATATATATATATATATATATATATATATATATATATATATATATTTCACAAAAAACAAATAGTATACAAAAAACATTTACCTTCATCTCTATGATAGTCTGAAGGGCTTTAGTTTTTCCAGGGTCTGGGTGAAGCTGGTTTCTCCGATGAAGCTCCTGTGGGAAATGAATAATGTTAGTAACACAATGACTTAAATTAAAAATTAAAATTAAATTAAAAATCTAAAATTAAAATTGAAATTAAAAATCAATAATCATATTTAGTGGAAACATTAGTTTTTGTAGTGTAAAGTCAAAAAAATTTGTAACCTTAAACAGGACCAGATTAACCAAAGATCATTATGGGCACAGGCCCAGGGGCAAGTGCACACTTAGGGCCCCTGCGAGGGGGGGAAAAGATTGATTTTAGAGTGTCTATTTAGGCTACGTTAAAAAATCCTTCCTCTTTCTTCTTTTTCCCCATTACAGGTAAGATTGGAAATACATTTATTTTTATAGAAAATAAATATTTTTGTTTAAAAATGAAAATAATGAAGTCACAAGTGGCTTGTGGGTATTTAATAAGGTTTAACCTATTTCATATGTGTATAAACAGCATCTAAATAGTTATATTAAATATTCTATAAACAGTTATTTTCTACCTGGTGTGGAATGTTAGTGACATCTTAATATAACTTACTTGTATTTACAACAAATACTCTTTAATATATATATGTATATATATTTTAGTACTGCTTCAGTGAACTTGAACAAGTATACTAAAAACCATTAATTTGCACTAATTTTATTCATATTTTTTTTATCAAAGTGTGCTTTAAATGCTTTATAAATAAGTAAACTATTTGTAAAGATTGATATAATATTTTATTAAAAAATATTTTCTTATTCTTATTTTTTTATTCAACTATAGAGGTGCGGTCGGGTAGGGGGCCCAAGAAGACAATGTGCCCAGGGGCCTCTGAATTCTTAATCCAGGCCTGCCCTGAAGTAATCCACAAAAATTGGGACATTAGATGGAAATCTCCCTTCTGAAAATCATATTGTGTATTCTGATCTTTGTTACGATTTCACATTTCAATAGTTTTAATCTTACTCTCTCTGAGTTCATAATGAATTATGTGTGTCAATCTCAGGCGCTGAACTACACAGACTTATACTACAGATTTAAAAAACATACATAAAAAAACTGAACTGTACAATAACCTGTCTCTATTTCACATTCAACTTGTTTTTATTATTCCCTCTGACATTTTTCTCATTTTTAAGCACATTTCTGCCTTTTCATACATGCTATTTACATAACGCACTGTGCACATTTTGTTTATAATTATATATATATATATATATATATATATATATATATATATATATATATATATATATATATATATATATATATATATATATGTATGTATGTATGTATGTATGTGTATATATATATATATATATATATATATATATTGCACCTTATGCTGTATTTACAGTCATCTGCATTACACTGGTCTCTTCCCTTCTACCTCATAACTTGTCATAAAGCTTAATGCATATACAGATTTTATATTTATTTACATGCCATGTTTTTTGCACCCCTGGTTAGATGTTATTGGTGTATCAGTAGCTATGTTTCCATTCAAAGATGTAAACTAAATTCATGCGCAAACTGGAATACCAAATGAAAAGATGTGCGAATAAGTCAAAAGAGTCAAAGAGAATAAAATCACAACTTCCTAATTATCTGTTATCTGTCTACTTATCTGTAAAAATTAAATTTACTGCGGTAGGAGATGCTGCGTGAATCTTTTCTTTATTTAATAAATGACTCGCGCCTCAAGACAAATGCCAACACGCAATGAACATAAGGTTATTATATAATTAATAATATAATAACACTAATGCTGAAATGGTTACGGCGTTTTGGAAGGCCAAAACAACATTTTTTGATGTTTTACAGTGTGCTCAGCCTGCTGGTTTGTCCATTCACACACATTTTTATCATCACATGATTATAACAAAATCACATGACTTTTTTAATGCGCATACTGGAATTTGTTATAAATTATTGGTAATAAATATTTCCATCATAGTTTATGCCCATCTTTTCTTTTATCTCTTTAAATAAAAACTTTATCCTACTCATTTTTGCGCATACATTTTTTATGTGCAGATCCAAAATGCGCATCAAAATAGGTGGATGGAAACATGGCTAGCGGCTCTGTATTTGTACTGTGCACAATGACAATACTGTTGAATCTGATCTAATCTAATCTACCCTGTGTGTTTGTAGCAGTGCTGGCACAGATCTCCTCTTGGGTCCAGATGACTCAGAGACCATATGCTGTTATTGTCTTGGTTGAGTCTAACTATCTGTCTGACTATTAAGATGGCAAACCACTTAACCTCAGATTGTTCCACAGAGACTGTGCGTGAGTTATTGCATTTCTCTGCCTCCAAAATCGTTCTTTGGGTCTGTTCATGCTTAAAAACAATTATTTGTGCAGTTGGTCATCCAAATGGAGCCCATTGTAATGGCTAAATGGCTAAAGTTCAACAAACAATTTCTTCAAATAAACCAAAATATTCCAAACAAAAACATGAGTTGCAGGATTTAATGTCATTTAAAGAGTTGCAGCACAAGTTTTTAGACAAACCATTTTTCCATTCTCATTGTAACATAAAAAGCAGACAAAATCACAGAGAATCAAAACATGACAATGATGTTGAAAAAAAGAAGTGGACAATATTTGTGTTGTAAAACTATAAGCTTACTTCAATAGCAATAATGTACAGTATATAACTTCAATGTCTGCTTTTAAAGTCAGCAAATCTTTGTCACTATTGGGATGAAATATCTGAAAATATACACTACCTGACAAAAGTCTTGTTGTTGATATTAGGTGTATGAGCAACAAATATTAACTTGACTTCCAGTTGATCACTTGAAAAAGTGGCAGAAGGTCAATTTTTCTGACGTATCATTTGTTGAACTGCCTCCCTATCATCACAAATACTTCAAAAGACCTGTGAGAACTCGCATGGACCCAAGATTCTCACAGAAATTTGTCAAGTTTGGCGAAGGAATAATCATGGTTTGGGGTTACATTCAGTATGGGGTTGTGCGAGAGATCTGCAGAGTGGATGGCAACATCAACAGCCTGAGGTATCAAGACATTTGTGCTGCCCGTTACAGTACAAACCACAGGAGAGGGCAAATTCTTCAGCAGGATAGCGCTCCTTATTATTTATTAGATTAGATTTATTTATCCACATTTTATTTCTTAAGGTTATTGCACACTGAATCCAAAATGTTCGTCCGTTATTTTTGCACGTTAAAAAATAAATTTGACCTCACGTTGTGTGAATCGTATTGACACACTTCCTCCAAAAAATGTATCCATCATTAAAAAACTGAACCAGGTTAGATTTTTTGGGGCTTTTCGCAGCCAAAAAGTGCTTTGAGAGGTGTTTTGACAGTTAAGAGTCACCGTAAAAGCGAAAAGCTAAATACTTTGTTAAATAATAATATTTTTTTAATAATTTGTCAAATAATAATACTATGTTATTATTTGAGCTACAGATAACTTTATGACAAACACAGTGCAAAATATAAGACAGAATGTGGCGGACAGTTGAGAACCCCAATATGTTGGACTGAGTGACTGGCGCACCCAGGGGTGTCGTCACTAGGCCCCATTTACTGGGGCATGTAAACGCCAGTGCCCCAGTAAAGGTACCTTTAAGGTACGATTTACTTTATATGCAAGTGTATTTATTAAGAGTGGTTATTCCAAATGAAGACGTAAATCTCTATGTGCAACCGAACCAACGCTGGTAAAAGCAAAGTAGTTTAATCAAAAAGAAAACTGACGCATGCATGCTGAAAACCATACTTGTGTGCCTCACACTCCTCATGCACTGCTCTATGGCAAGCTCCCAGTTTGAATCCTGGTACATACACACCGAAAAAGTATGCACTGCTCATGCTTAGTGAAACCGGCGTAACAGCCTTTTATTCAAAGGTGTTGGCAGTTGGCACGTAGTGAGTTTTGCAAGTTGACAAAATTAAAGTTTAAATAATATGATGGTGATCTTACTTAGACTATAAGCACGGCCCCTGATAGATTTCTTTTGTATGAGGCAAAAGGGAGGGATGATGATAAAACTCGGCCATGTGTCTAAGACAACAGATGATTCTATAAAACATCTTTTTTTGTATTCTATATAATTTAATTCTAATGAAATTAATATTCATGCAAAAGATTTCTAAAATGATCTTAGAATATCACTGCAGTTTAGAAATCATTTCTGTTATTTTTTTAGAATAATGAATGTATAATAATAACAACATTAATAATACTTTTATTTGTTTATAATAAATATTTTTGTATTAAAATAACTATCTAGCAATGCCCCTGGGCGCATCTCTCCTCTGCTGCTGCTTGGTATGTGTGTGTCCATACATTTGAGATACAGCCCATATACATTATATTAGAAAGCATGGTTCTCTTTCGGTCTGTTGCTTCAACACGTCAACGTGACAACCATCTATTATAATGTCTATAGGTACTTCCAGTCTGTTCAGAATTTGTTTACGTACGTGTTTGAATAGGGAAACATTAAGTTTTCTAAAACTACTGGTCAAGCTTACAATTAAATTCCATATTACGAATAACCAATACAATTAAACAACAACTGTCTATTTAGTTTCATTTCTAAATGTTCCTATTACATAAAATCTGCAGAAACTCACGCCGGGTCCGAGTCCCTCCCCTGGAAAAATGTCATTCTAAAGTGATCGCTGATTGGCTCCTGTACTAGAAGGCGGGCTATATTCCCCATATAGCGATCGCTGATTGACTCCTCTACTGGAAGGCGGGGCTTCATTCGCCATTTTGAGAGTTACACTTTTCCCCTTTCAAAAGTATACGAGTGAAATGTCTTGTGTATTCTATGGTCTTTGTTAATACACATCAGACTCAGTGTGCAAGGTTTGTTTACGTGATGAATTTTTGGCATATGAATACGTAAAAAAATCATGAAAATTTCGGACTTCAGTATGCAAAGACTTTTAGACATTATATTATTCCAAAGTACTAAAATGTCAATGAAAGTCACTTTGTTCAACTTTAGACATTACATTTACATTTAGCACATGCTTTTATCCAAAGCGACTTACAAATGAGGACAAGGAAGCAATTTACACAACTATAAGAGTAACAATGAATAAGTGCTGTAGGCAAGTTTCAGGTATGTAAAGAACGTGTAAGAAGCAAAACATTAGTAATTTTAATTTTTTTTGTGTAGTTAGTGGAGGAGTCAGAGAGGAAATTGCATATTAGTAAGGAAAGTGGAGACTAAATAGTTGAGTTTTTAGTCGTTTTATGAAGACAGCGAGTGACTCTGCCGTTCTGATGCAGTTAGGGAGTTCATTCCACCAACTGGGCAGATTGAGCGCGAGAGTACGGGAAAGTGATTTCTTCCCTCTTTGGGATGGAACCAGGAGGCAACGTTCATTCACAGAACGCAAGTTTCTGCAGGGCCTATAAATCTGCAGAAGTGAGAGCAGATATGAAGGAGCACAGCCAGAAATTGCTTTGTAAGCAAACATCAGAGCTTTGAATTTGATTCGAGCAGCAACTGGCAGCCAGTGCAAACGGATGAGTAGCGGAGTCAACTTTAGAGTTGAATTTTCCCCTCAAATTAAGAATGAAAAAAGTTTAAAGTATATTGACACCTCATTTAGGAGAGAAAGAGGCATAAACCAGTAAAAACAATGCTCAACAATCACAAAATAAAGTGAAAAAACACTTGCACCCCAGCCCTTGTGCCTGCCCACACAGCTACCAAACTGACTAATGACAGATGTTGCATTCCGTGTTGTCTTGATGCACTCGACGCAAAACAAGATTGCCTTAAAAATGCAATATTTGATCTCACACTAACTATTTATCATTAATTCATTTACTTGTCGGCTTAGTCCCTTTATTAATCCAGGGTCGCCACAGCGGAATGAACCGACAACTTATCCAGCACATTTTTACGCAGCGGATGCCCTTCCAGCCACAACTCATCTGTGGGAAACATCCACTCACACATTCACATACACACTCATACACTACGGACAATTTAGCCTACCCAATTCACCTGTGTCTGCATGTCTTTGGACTGTGGGGGAAACCCACGCGAACATAGGGAGAACATGCAAACTCTACACAGAAACGCCAACTGAGCCGAGGATCGAACCAGCGACCCAGCGACCTTCTTGCTGTGAAGCGACAGCACTACCTACTGCGCCACTGCGTTGCCTCACACTAACCAGTATGGTCCAAAATCCTCTTTCAACCCAAATCATTAGCATTGTAAGTGAATACCTCTCTGAGATGGATGTTCTCCTTCTCTTTTTGGTCCAGGATGACCTCCAGGTGTCCGAGCTGAGCTTCAGCTTCAGCGATTCGTCGGGCTCGCTCTTGCTCCTCCTCATCTGATGCCCGTCCTGAAGCTGGAGGAAGACCTTTACTCTGCAGCATCTCCAGCAGCTTCTTGATGGACTCGTCTCTGGCTCCCAGCGTCTGTTTCTGGGTCTCGATGCGCAGCTCCATCTCCTCCAGGGTTTTTCTTAGAAGGAACAGCTCTTTGGCCTGTCGGTCGTGTTCAGCCTGAAGCCTGCGGAAGTTTTCTTCGGTCAGCTCGATGGTGGTAAAGTGGTCTCCTCCGCCGGCCCGCGAGCTGCTCTCCTGCTGGAGGAGATGGTTGAGGTCTCGCTGGGTCCTCAGCTCGTCCTGCAGAGCCTGGATGGTCAGCTGGAGGTGCTGGAGATGGAAACAGAGCAGGGGTCAACATGATGGGATCAGGGAGCTTCTTTTTTTAGATAATGAGCAGAAGGTATCCTTAACCAGACCCATTCAGAACAGGTTTTGAGATCAGAAAAGTCAGGTTGGATTTAGTGAAATGACCCCACTGTGGTGTTTAAATCTATAATTCTGTCTCGACCAGGATCAACGCAAGCTTTCACATCTTTTTATGCACATTTTTTTTGCCTTTTTTCTAGTCCAAATATCTGAAAAGTTGAATATTTTGGGGTATTGCTATGGAATAAACTCCCAGTGGATATTAAAAGTATTACAAAAGTGGTCAGCTTTAGTTTCAAATTAAAAAGTGGAATAGTATGTTGATATATTTTACAGTATGTTTTAATTTTTATTTGTGATCGTATTTGTATTTGTTTTTATAATGTAGTGTCAGTGTACATGTTACCGGAAGTAGCATAATCTTCACATCAAAGTACTTTACTTTATTGGGTTTATCCTTGATGAATTACTTGTAATCACTTACAGCATTTTTTGGCAAATAGAAAGAAAGAAAGAAAGAAAGAAAGAAAGAAAAAGAAAGAAAGAAAGAAAGAAAGAAAGAAAGAAAGAAAGAAAGAAAGAAAGAAAGAAAGAAAGAAAGAAAGAAAGAAAAAGAAATTTTTATAAAAAAAAATTTTTTTAAATAAAATTGAAAATCGAAAATCTACATATGCAACGTCAAAGAAATCCTGGACACTTAACCCTCATCTGATGCTACGGATGACAACTTAATGGAAATTATCTAACAGCTTGGACTAAACTATAGTTATTCTGTGTTTCCTGATGTGCGTATAATGGGGTGGGGGGATGGAGAATATATATGGGGTTATATCTGTTAAAAGTATTTTGTTATCTGATTGTAAAAATTGTATATTCTCACTTTCGGAAATAAAAAACTGAATTACAAAAATAAAAAAATCTTAAATCTTGTTTTCAGAAATAATATGTAAAAATCAAGAAGTATTTTCTGGACAATTAAAAATTATTGCATTGTTTACAAAAGTAATAAGTCAGAATTAGTTGATTTTTCCTCAAAACACTATCAAAATAATACACTAATGTGTTAGGTAAAATAATATAGTTTTCATTTTAAAATAAGATTACTTTGCGTACCCCATTGGCAGACTATTTTGCTTATTTTAAGAAAACGCTCTTAAAAAACAATCTCTCTGATTACCATAGAGTGTGATGCATTTGATTTTCAAAGTAAGTAGTGGTACTTTTTACAAGTGCTGTTATTGTTAACTAAAACCAAACTATTTTTGGTAATTGAAATTAAGCTGATATGACTGTAAAGTTTTAAATGAGTTATAAATAGAAACTGCAAATGTTGAAATGAACTGGTAGAAATTGCTAAGGGACCTCTATTAATTATTCTAATCTTATCAGAGCAAATTAAATAAAAAAAAAATTCAAATTAAATTTCAAATATTATTTAATAATATTAAATTTACAAATATAAAATTTTAGGGAAAATTATATCTTTAAATTTATCATAAATCATAGAAAATCTGGCACAAAAAAAGAGAACAGTTCGAACTAAAACTTGAAATAAATATTATAAGCAAAATGAAACTTATAACCCCTGCTCATAATTTTGGAATATCCAGACCAATACACTAAGCATTAATTAAAAATAGGAAATAATATATAAACAATATAAGAACTAACAAAACAAACAATATAATGTTGTGTTGAACCTGGTTTACATACAGATTAGTTCATTTTTGCATTCACATAAATGAGAACAGTATGGAAGCTACATGACATTTGTTTTTAGCAATATCTGTACATACATCTTGAAGAGACCACATAAAATCCTCAGATTTTCTGGATTTACTGTATATATTATGGTTTTTAGCAGAATGTTAATATTTGATTTATTATAATAAGGTCTTAAAACCATTGTTTAGTCAGAAAAGGACAGTTTCTCAGAGCGAAAAATGTTTTCATTTGTTATAATTGACAATAAATCCATCAAATAGGGATTTTTATAAAACTCTTCTGAAGTGAAACTGGTAATGTGTTGTCTAAAAATGAACTATAATCTCAAAATCGAGTATCTTTTAGTTATTTTATGCAAAGAAATTACAAGATTTTTATCTTAAATTTAGGCGAAATATCACTAGTCATTTACAGAATTAAATCTAACTAACATTTTACCCCAACACAAAACAATAAGCAGTAAATTCAGATAAACAGAGCATTTTGCAGTGGTCTCTTCTTTTATATATATATATTTCTCATAAAAAATCCAAAAGAGTCAATTGTCAGGAAAACCACAGTGAGGTCTATTCCAGTTGAGGAAATGGGAAACAATCAGGTTTCTCGAGAGAAAACACAAACTGATAACTTCTAAAATAAGGTTAATGACCAAAAAAACTGTGCTAGAAATAGTCTGAAGATAATGGGGTTTTCTAGTCTATTTGGCACATGAAGAGCCTTGGGCAGAACCACAGAGAATATGAGCTCAGAAAATCCAAAACGCGTCTCAGAAAATGTAGATCAGCACAAACAGACACACAAATCTCTTCAGTATCACACGCATGCTTTCGGTCAGGAGTTTATAGGGAAAAACAACAATTTAAGGCCCAGTTAACCCTTAATCTTAGCTTATCTGGAAGAAACATGGAGGATAAGGGAAAATGTTCCTTATTGAGGTTGTTTTTATGCAGATCTGATCCATTCATCACTGTAAAAGCGATGGTGGGCTCAGATCAGCAGCTAGAGATGCACTGATATCAGTATTTTAGCTGATAATAGTAGAGACAGAAAGTCTGCCAAAGTAATCTAGGATGTTTTGTCTATTTTTTCATTCATTTTCTTTTTGGCTTGGTCCCTTTGTTTTGTCTATTTTTCAAAATCGTTTTTTACGAATATCATGAGACATAAGGCATCAAAAATAAAAGAGAATAAAATTAAAAAGAAAGAGAGAAAACAGATTGAATTACAATTTTAAATAAATTAGAATAATGAAAACAGCTGTCAAAATTAGCTTGCAATATAGGGCAAAACAAACCTATTTTAAAAAATTGTTAATTAAGTGTAAAAATGTTTATATTTGATAGTGGTTATATAATTATAACAACACATTTGGTACTGAGAAGATAGAAAGACAATTGCTATTTGATAAAATAAAATCTGATATGCTTCTAATCTGCAATTAATCTATGTAATCACTTAAAATGATTTCAATAAAAAAAAAAAGATTCAAATGAGATTAAAAAAAATAATTATTCTGATAAAATACGCTTTCTATATTATCCCCATCTGAATACTATTTGATGCAATAATCACAATTACTAATAAAATGGAACAGTTTAAATTAAAAAACATATATTAAATAAAACAAATTAGATAATATATGCTTCTTATCTGGATTTCATCAGATCAATGCAATAATATAAAACTATTTAAGCTAAATAAATAAATATATAGAATAAAAAATTTGTCAAAACCATAATAACAACAAAATTAAAAAATACAAAAAAACTTAAAATATTTTTAGCATCTGCTTCTATTATCAATTTTTTCTTAATAATTTTATTGCAGTAATTGAGATTACTATATTAAAATGAAATATATTCTTCTAAAATAGACTTAAACAGGTGCCAATAATACAATAATTTGAAACGGTTTTTATAAAAAAAAATTAAGCAAAATTAAAACAAGACAATAACAATAATTATAATAAGTAGATATAATAAATATTAACAGAATATGCTCATATTATCAATATTTTTTGATAAGTTATAAAATGCAACAATTAAAAATACTATTCAAATTGAACAGTTGTAATAAACAGAAAAATAAAATAAAATAATATTGAAAAATGAAATTAAAAGCTGTTTTAAATAAAGAATTTAAATAAAATAAGTTAAATAAAATAATAATAAAAATAAGTGAAATTAAAATACAAAAAACTACTGAAAATACTAGTAATATATATATATATATATATATATATATATATATATATATATATATATATATATATATATATATATATATATATATATAAAATAATAATAATAATAATAATTTTAAAATAATAATTACAATAAATAGATATAATTAATATTAACAGCATCCGCTTTTGTTAATAATAATTTTAATAATACATGTTGTGAAGAGCAATAATTTAAATAACTATTAAAATTGAACAGTTGTATCTGAATTAAATTAAATTAAATTAAAATTAAATAAAACTAACTAACCAATTAACATCAAAATTAATTAAAAAATAAATTGAAATAATAAAATAAAATACATTTTTTAAAAATTAACTAAAAAGTAAAAATGTAAGAAAATAAGTTAAAATAAAATAATATTAATAAGAATAATAAGAATAATTATGATTATTGTTATTATTATTATTATAAAATACTAATAAAATAAAATAAAACACAAAATACTACTGAAAATACTAACAACACTGATATAATTATAATTTTTTTAATAATTACATAAATAGATATAATTAATATAAACAGCATCTGCTTCTGTTATTAATATTTTTGCTAATAAATGTTATAAAATGCAATAATTAAAATTACTATTAAAATTGAACATTTGTAAATAAAACATAAATAAACAAAAAAATAAATAATTTTTAAAGTTGCTATAACTGAAAATTAAATAAAGTTAAAATAAAATAATAAAAATAAATTACATTTAATTTACATTAAAAATATAATAAAACAACTATCTAACTAACATCAAATTAAAAATAAAATAAAATAAAATAAAATAAAATAAAATAAAATAAAATTAAATTAAATTAAATTAAATTAAATTAAATTAAATGCTTTTATTATCAGCCTATAACCAGGCCAACACAAGTTAAAAACCCTCTTACTAACAGCATTACTGTGCATCCCTAGCAGATAAGAACAACTCTCATAGAAACCTGTGAGATCTGAATCCGGGGATCAGGTTCAGGGTACAGTCTGGTTCAGTGTAAATAAAGACACACGTGTTACATGTTCGGCTCACAGCAGCAGCGGTGGCGAACATGACAACAAACCTTCGTCCTCCTGGAGTCCAGCAGGTGCTGCGTGAGGTTGAAGACCACCAGAACAGAAACAATGCAGAAACACAGCAGAGTGAGTGCAGAACGAGATGAAGCAATGACAAACACAAACTCACAGCATTATTCAAACACCGCAATTACAGAGAATAATGAGGTAATTCACATTCAGAACACACCGCTAATGGAAAAACTGCAACAGAACACAATTAAAGACCATATAGAAATTGATGAAGTGAATGTGAATGATCCTTCTGGAAAGAGGGGAGATATTAAACCAGATGAATTCATGGTTATGTATTTATAATCTTGACACTCTTTGTAAATATAAGGGAAATGCTGAAGGAAAGTTGCATAATTTTTCATAACATTTGGATTTTTTGCTCTAAATATTAATGATAAAAGAACTTATTTAGAGCATTTAACAGTGAAGTATACTGTATACATTTATGTACAGTTGAAGTCAGAATTATTAGCCCCCCTAAATATTTCCCAAATTATGTGTAACAGAGCAAGAAAATTGTCACAGTATGTCTGATAATATTTTTTCTTCTGGAGAAAGTCGTATTTGTTTTATTTTAGCTAGAATAAAAGCAGTTTTTAATTTTTGTAAAACCATTTTTAGGTCAAAATTATTAGCCCCTTTAAGTATTTTTTCCAATCGTCTACAGAACAAACCATCACTATACAATAACTTGCCTAATTACCCTAACCTGCCTTGTTAACTAAATTTAAGCTAATTTTAAAATTGATTTCTTCATTTTCATTCATTTTTTTTTCGGCTTAGTCCAAATTATCCAACACGGGGAGAACATGCAATCTCCACACAGAAATGCCAAGTGACCCAGCCGAGGCTTGAACCAGCAAACTTCTTGCTGTGAGGTGAAAGCGCAACCCACAGCGCCACCGCGCCGCTCATGTTTCATTTGACATTTTTATATTATTTTATTCCCAATTGTATTTATTTTGATGTATTATTAGTATTATTTTAGTAATTGTTTTAAGTAATTAGTAATTATAGTAATTGTGTTTTTATTATACAATTTTTGTATTATTTTTTTTATAAGAAATTGTATTTATTTGTATTTATTAGTAGTATTATTATGGGAAACACAATGCATTTTTTATTTCTTTTTACATTTTTATATTAGAATGTTTTTATTAGTAGTAGAATTATTAAGGAAAAACTAAGTCCTCAATTTAGTTTTTTTATTTATTTTATTTTACATTTTATTATTGTTGTTTTTTACTATTAAAAATTAGACACATTTTTATTTATTATTAGTTTTATTATAAGGAAAAATATTTTTATTATACATTTTGATATTCTTCAATTTGTTTTTGTTAATTGTTTTTTTTTTTTATTTATCATTAGTATTTTAAGGGAAAACAAAATACTTTTTATTATTATATTTTTTAATAGAATTTTTATTTATTTGTATTTATTATTATTAAGGGGGCAGCGCAGTGGCGCAGTATGTAGTGCTGTCGCCTCACAGCAAGAAGGTCGCTGGTTAGAGCCTCAGCTGGATCAGTTGGCATTTCTGTGTGGAGTTTGCATGTTCTCCCTGCGTTCGCGTGGGTTTCCTCCGTGATGTTTCACAGAAATGGGTTACGGCTGGAAGGGCATCCGCTGCAAAAAAAATGTGCTGGATAAGTTGGCGGTTCATTCTGCTGTGATGACCCCAGTTTAATAAAGGGACTAAGCCGAAAAGAAAATTAATGAGTTATTATTAAAGGGACAAAAAACTAGTTTTATTATTTTAATATGCACTTTTATATTATTACTTTTAAATTATACTTTTTATTTAATTGTATTTATTAGTACTCCATATATTATTAAGAGAAAACAAAATCTACCAAAACTACATAACCCTATATAGTCCATAACTGGCGAAGTTAAGCCCTGGTCAGATCACACGAATTTTATTGTTTATTGTCAGGTTAAGCGATTTCGTCTGGATAAATCTTGATTTGTCGTGGGTAACAAATGTGCCAAACTACATGTTTCTTCACGATCAGTCATCCCATGACGTTTACGACGAACACTATTTCCCAAAGCAGTCACAAGTGTTGAATTAGTTGAATATTGTAGTCAGAAGGTCTTCAAAAGTCTTGGCAAATGATTTGAAAGGGTTTAAAGAAACAACAAAAACATCCCCCCAAAACAAAACACCCTCAAGCATCTTCAGTATATATTTGTTATATTTGGAGAGAAAAAGAAATCATTTCACACAATAAAAAACATTGTTTCACAGCCCACTTTGCACATATTAAAGGGATAGTTCACCAAAAAATGACAATTGACTCATCATTTACCCACCCACATATGCTTTAATGAGTTTCGTTTCTCTGTTGAACACAAAAGAAGATAGCAAGATGCTGCAAACTACTGCCTTTCATTAGAAACACCATGGAGGTCAATGTGTTTCAGGTCTTCTTCAAAGTATCTTCTTTTGTGTACAACAGAAAAAAAGAAACTCAAACAGGTTTGAACAATTGAAGGATGAGTAAATCATGAATTTTGAGTTGTAATGTGTGTTTTTGTCCAGCAGATAGAGCAGATGAGCTGTGTGCGAGACGCTATAGTGAACAGTTGAGTTGAGCTGCCGTGTGTCTGCCTGTCTTACTTCCAGATCAGCGGACACTCAGTCTTATGTAAGAAATGGCATTTTGGGCTGCTTCACTTCTGCCATTATACATTCACGTCACACAGACACAAACACACACTAAAACACTTAGACTGATGTAGATATATAGGCATCCACAGGCCTACTGCCACAGTGCTCACTGCTCAGAGGCACACGCCCTTTTGAATATGAATATTTTTATCCATTTCCCAGTGAATATAGACAATACTTTTAGTGCGTTTGAACAAAAGTATTTTATTAAACAGTTATATTAATTAAAATCTTTAGGGATCATCTGGAAAGATTATACATCGATTAAAGCAGAAATTTGATTGCATTAAATACATGAATAAAGAAAAATAAATAAACTACAGATCTTCAACTCAATTAGATTTTTTTTAAATGTTCCTCTTGATTTTTACCAGATTTTTTTTCACCAACATAAAAAAGAAAACCTACGAAAGGCTTAATTATGGAAATATATTTGAATAACACTATATATTACATCAAGGTATACTACACTTAAAACTAAATGTACATATGAAGGAAATACAAATATATTTTGGAAACATCATATTTATAATTGAAGATGATGAAGTACATTTTGCTCTAAAGCATAGTTCTCAAACTGGATTCCTGGAGGGGCGCTGGACTTGTCTCCCCATAGACTTCCATTCATATGCACACGAATGCGTCAGACCAGAAATGCATGGTCATGAGTTAAGATTCGCAATTCGCTGCAGTGCAAGCTTGGTGAGCTCTGACCTGCGAAATCGCGTCACTTGACTGCGTGAGACCAATAGAGGATCAAAACATGACCTCTCTGGACAGAAATTTAAAACATGGAGCATTAGCTCGCTTTTTTAAATGTCTAATCATCTTGTTTAATCCCGCCCCTTTTCGCAGCGACGAACGGCAGATTTTCACACACACAAACTCTAGTGTGACCGCAAATTTAAGCAGGTGTGAGTTGAAGGTGGTTGAAGCTAAACTATTCAGAGCTGAATTTAGTTGAACAATTGAGATCAAATTGCAAGAATAAGACTCTTTAGAGCAATAGTCTGCACTAAAGAGTCTTATTCTTGCAATTTGATCTCAATTGTTTAATCTCCGTGATCTTAAACTTGTTTGATTGAGTAAAATATTATTTATTACATTTTATTAAGGGGTAAAATATGGCCTGGGTATCTTTTTGAAATGTCTTATGAGATTGAATAATCTTCATAATGTAACTTCATAAATATTCCATCATCAAAAATGACTAATTGTCTTTTATGACTAACTTTATGACTCACCTGCAGACTATATTAAGTGTAACTAAAGATATAGTGATAAACAGTGATGGTGATGTAAATGTATCTTGGTCTTATTTTGCACTTTGTATTTGAACACTGATAAATGCAAAGTACATTTTGAACACTGTTCATGAACTGGAAAATGGTAAAACTATGGAAAAAAGAAAACTGAATTACAATGGGAAAAAATGTAGTTGTGTAAAATAAAACAAAATCAAATAATAATTTGGTAACCATATATACCGTGTATGACGTTATATACATTTTTGGTCCATTAGAAAATATATATTAAATCTCTTATTTTCTAATCATTAAATATTTATTTTTAGTTTGGCAAAAAAAGAAAGCTGTTTTAGGTAAAATAATAATAATAATAATGCATAAAGAAATAAAATAAAATAAAATATTTGGTTCATTAAAATAAAATATAAAAAATTAAAAAATAAAATCAAAATAAAATAGAAAATAAAATAAAATAAAATAATAAAAAAAATAAATTAAATTAAATTAAATTAAATTAAATTAAATTGGTAAATGTATAAATTGATTACATGCTGGTTCATAAACATTTCTAAAAAAAAATTTGGTCTGGCAAAAATAGAAGTTGTTTTACCCAAAAACTAAATTAAATAAATAAAGATATATTTTTAATTAATTTAAATTAATAAAAATAAAATAAAATATTTTGTTCATTACCATTTCTTAAAATAAAATTTTTGTCTGTCAACAAAATGGAAGCTGATTTCGATAAAAACTAAACATTAAAAATAAAATAAAATAAAATAAAATAAAATAAAATAAAATAAAATAAAATAAAATAAAATAAAATAAAACATTGGGTACATTTACATATCTTAAAATTAAATTTCAGTCTGACAAAAAATAAAGCTGTTTTAGGTAAATCAAAAATATAATATATTATAATAAATAAATTATAATAAAAAATCTAATAATTAAAATTAATAAATGGATAAAATTAAATTAAAAATAATTTGGTAAATGTATAAATTTATTACATGTTGGTTCATTAACATTTCTAAAAAAATTATTTTAGTCTAACAAAAATGGAAGCTGTGTTAGGTAAAAACAAAATAAAATT